ATGCTGAGGCTCTGCCAAAGAGATTTACTGCTCAAGAAAGCAAGGGACCCTTGTTGGAGTCTGGACATTGTTTGTTTTCAAGATAATGAAGCCAGCTACCATTGTGTCAAGGGCCTCAGAGTGCTGGGGTAGAATGCACTTTTCTCTAAATTGGATTCCAAATAATCTATTATAGAAAGTATTCTGAAAGCCAGAATATGTCAGAGCCAGAAGGTCCCTCAGAGACCATCTGGCCCAAGCTCGTTGCTTTATATAAGATAAACCATGCAAGGAAATGTGCACAGGCTTATCAACTGCATTATACTGAGTGATTCCAGCCACTTTCACCAGCTTGTAACCAGCTTATGATGTTACAAGAAAATGAGCAGGTGTTGTGAGAACCACCCAGGACTGCAAAGCCAATGAAACTTCCGCAGAGACTGAGCCCTGGTCTTCGAACCAAGGTAAGACGGGGCTGACCTAAGAAGGAAGCTGCTGGAAAAGGATATAAACTCAAAAGGAGGCACACATTGAACAAAAACAACCAGGCGGATGGTTCTCGAAGGAAATAGTTAGAAAGGGAGAAAGTAAAACTTCCTTCCCAAGTACCAGAAGCAAGGCAGAGAGGCTCCATCAAAGGCAGGCGTCCCTCTGCTTCATTCTGCAATTTGACCTCGGGTGGCCCCATACTTCTATCTTATTCTGATGTGGTCTGGTGTCCTCTGAACATAGACAAATTCATCCCGACCAGCTGAGTTTCAGGGGAGACCGTGTGGGCTCTCCCACGCAGGAGGGCAGGTGGTGCAAGGTGTGCACTTGGAGGCAGACTGCCTTGATTGAGGGCAGGCTCCAGGACCAAGCAGACACTGGACAAGTTATCAAGCTTCAGTTTATTCATCTGCTGATTGGGCACACTGCCAGCCTCATAGCTGTGGAGTTTAAACAAGATAAAGTGCTTATGGTTCCTTTTAAGGTTTTAGGCACAGTATCAGTGCTTGGTAAATGTGATATATTGTTGGCTTTAAAGGAAAATATTTTGTGTTGACTGTATCATTATAGTTGACCTGTTCTAGAAATTAAGAGAGACACAGAGAACCTGAAAGGAAGTCAAGGGGAGAAAGGTGCACTAATAGGGGGAAAGTACTATGCAGGGAGAGAGTTTGGGTAGACCAGAAAAACAAACACTATCCAGATCATCAGCTGAGAAACTAGGGAAGAAAGAAGCTCCAAATACTGCATGAGGGATTTGGGCTAGACTTTCAAATTTCCTGGCAGTGAGAGTTATCAGATGTTCTTAAAGAGTTTTCCTCAGCTCCTGGGTGTCTCTGGTCAGCCATTCCGAGAGCTGAAATGCCAGGAACCCAACCCCATGGGTCTCTGGTCTTCTATTCCGAGAATCAAAGGCAGCAAAGCAGTCTGCATGTAAGAACTGAGCAACCCCTAAGAGCTGGTTTTGGCAAAGCTCCTGAGCTACATCCGAGTCGCGGAGCTCTTGTGCTGCTGACACCCAGCACTTAGCAGAAGGGAGCAGCCGCCTTCCCTCCAGCAGGAGGCGATCGAGCGCATTCCGCAGTGGACTTTTAAAGCCAACATGGCTGAGGTGGTGTCATCTCTTGACATTCTCTGGGAGACCTTGAGGACCCACTCAGGCACAGTTTGTGAGAATGGGAGACAGATGATGTAGGCCAGTTGAGACCACCCAGGCCATTCTGCTGTATCCACACAGACGAGCTGTAGCAACTAGATTCTGGGGTTGGTCGGATATTAAGTCAGAACCCCCCCCCCTTGTAAGTCATGAAGAGTGACAGAACATCATCAGTGTGGACAGGCTCTTACTCTGTGATGGAAGAGCCTGTCCTCTGACACACACAGACACACACGTCTTCTACCATGTAGAGTTTCTGACAGTAACTAGCTGTGTCTTGGCAGTGCCTGTGCCTGCTTTTCTGGGAAGGAAATCAGGCACACTCTCAAGAACAGTGGCTCCCAAAGCCACCGGTTGGACCATCCTGCTGAAATTTTCATGTAAATTCCTACTGCATCTGAGCACAGTTCTTCCTAACCTACCCTTCAGTGCCAGCCTCCTCATTCCTTAATGATGTGTCACCCTAATTCTTGCAAAGCTTCTGAGGCCTTAAGAATCTAGGTGAGCCAAGCATAGTGGTACACACTATAAACCAGTACTTTGGCAAGATGAGGAAGAAGGGTCACAAGTTCAAACCCCACCTGGGGAACTGAAATTGATGATGGTGGTGATGGCTGCTGGTGGTGGTGGAGGTGACACAAAAGGGCTGGGGACACAGCTCAGTGTGAAGGCTTTAGGTTCAATCCAAAAAAATCCAGTTGATCTGCCCTCTGAGTCCCTTCACAACCACTGCAGCTGCTTTTGAAACAGCTTGGGTCTGAGTTTATCTAAGAGACATGAATGAGAGGCAGAATCTTAGCTGGGAGTAGATGAGGGTTTTTGTTTTTTTTTTTTTTTTTCCTTCCTCGAATGCCTTCAGGGCACTTTTGGCCAGCGGGAGAGTTGTGAGGTTCGAACTCCAGCAACCTGAGGCTGACAGCTTTGTGGAAGCAGCCACTTAAAGGACTGAGCTAGGGCCAGGCCCCCCAGCTGGGAGTAGATGAGAAACCCATCATAGCAGTTTTACCAAGCAGCTCACAAAGACAAAAATATCTTCCTCCTTCATGTCTTTGTCCTTGAATTTTGACTGTCATTGGTTTGGGTTTTTTAAAAAATGGTACTCACAAAATTGACTGTTGAAAGTGGGGATGAACAAGGCCTCCATCCTTAGCAAGTTGATTTGAAGTAGGTACAGAACACAGGTTTTGGTACGAAAATTGCCTAGAATCTAAAGCGTAATGAGCTTGTGACCCAGCATCTCTGTTGACCTTCAATTTTCTATGCTAAAAGTGGAGTGGTACCCACCCCCGAGCTTGTTGCGTTAAGCATCATGGTGATACAGAGAGAGCTCTGCCCTCAGTGCCTTGGCCCTGAATAAATGCTCCCAAATGGGAGCAGTGACCTTTACCTCTGACTTTAAGGCTATTTTTTTTCCTTTTGTTTGACCTTAGCTCCTTCCTCCTTCCCAGTGTCTTCTCCATCCTTGAGATAACTGTGGGTTTGCTAGAAAATACCCGCTAAGTGCAGCATTGCCACAGCCTCCCCAGTCATAGCGACCGTGTGACACAGCATGACAGCAGGACTCTGAGCAGGTTTTCCTCCTCTCCATCCCCACTGCTTTGCTGGTCGTCTGTGCTTGTGGAGCTGCATGCTACTGTGTGAATTAAGTGTCCACAGGCACACAGATCGGTCTCTGCAGAGCGTGACCACTGAGCTGGGACTCTTCATATCGTCACAGGGTTCCCAGCTCTCCACAGAATCACCAACCTCATGTGAGAGACTCCTGCCCTGGGATCTCGTCGTAGTATCCTTGACCTTGTGCTACTTGACTGTGTGGTGATTGTGACGATGGGTGGGAGGAAGCGCTGTGGTAACCCTGGGACCTAGGTGCTGAGAACGCTGTGTGCATAGGCGTAACCAATTAACCACATAATGGATTAACCCTTCAGTAGTCACTGTTGTGTATGCATGCATGCTGGTGGGGCAGATGAAGACCTGTGTAAAAAGAGACATCAATGTGTAGGGTCCACTGTCATAATTTTCTGTTTTCTCCTTTAATCCATTCATTCTATGAACATCTATTGTTGTCCCATGCTTTATGCCAGCAGCTCAAGTACCCCAGCATATGTTTCATCTTTCCTTCCCTGGACAAAGGGCAAAATAGAAGCAAAGTCTGAGATGTTTCCCATGATGACTAAGAGAAAGAAGTTGGGTACCCCTTGGTCACGAACTGTCCTGGTCCAGCCAGGCACCAGTTAAGCCAGCAAGCTTTGTCAGGAAGCACCAATTACAGGCAGTACCAATGAACCCCCAGAGCAAAGGCTTTGTTCTAACTCCAGGCATCGCTGAGGGCCCCCTTCTGACAACTCTGCCTTCCCCAGCCTCCCACTTGACCAGATGGGTCTAAGACGCATTAAACCCCTGGATATCTTTATGTCTTTATAATCATACCTCCGGGCAAAGGGTGCCACCTCCATTTTTCCTTGGAATTTCTGGTGGGAGTCTGCTTTTCTCCATTCATTTTCTCCATTCATCTTTTCCATTTCCATAGAGTTGTACAGAGAGCGCTGGGGGAGAGCTGAAGCTTCACTGCAGTGGGCTCCACTCTGCAGGCGCACCCAGACTGGCACAACAGTGGCCAACCTGACACTGTCTATCAGTAGCCACCTGGCCCTTAAAAGCTGCATGGATTTCATTGATTCCAGCCCTGTGGCTGCTCCTGCTTAGTTGAATTGTAGATCACCCCATCCACTGTGGCTCCTGCTTTCCTCTCACCCCTCCCATATCCCACATGTAGTTAACACACTCCTCCCAGCCCCTTCCCAAAGTCATTAGTGAGGAAGCAGGATGGTCTTGGGCCCAGAGTGATTTCCTATCATCTCTGCTCATTAATTCTCACCATGTCTTTGCTAAGCCATTAATAACTCTCCTTGCGTGTCCTACTGTTCATCTGGGGCTTCATGGCTTCATCCCAGCTCTCCTATTCAGGGTCTCTAAGAGCGGGTTGCCTGTCCTATGGCCTCAATCTATGCTCTCTCTTGTCTTCCACATCCCTTCTTGGGGACCACCGTGGTGGCCTGTGGAACCCCAATATAAGATGCTGAGGAAACTGACCTCTTGCTGCTCAGACAACCCCTGCACCTATCCCAAAGAAGGGGAGATTTGCTGGACTCCTGCCGGCAGGACCTTTCAGATCTTAGCGCTGATCACACACATGTGCTGGTGGGGCCGAGGAGTCCAGACTTCCTAACACACCTCTCTTACTGATGTCCTAGGATGGTTTGGGTGGGGGGAGTCCAGCAAGAGGCATGATGACCCTTCTGTGGCTGGACAGCTTTGTCCTATCTAGGTCAGCTCTCTAAGCAAGAGACTCACAAGAGCTTCTGTCCTGTTTCAGCCCGAGGAGTTGCAGAAAGAACACCCAGCTTCATGTATCCTCAGGGTACCTCAAGCAGTCAGATGGTGCTTCGTGGCATGGACCTCCTGCTCGAGTGTATTGCTTCTGGGGTGTATGTATAGTTTGTACCCCACTTGTAGCCACCCTCCGGAAGAATGGGGTGGGATTTTGTCTCTGCTTGTTCTTGTTGCCTTTGAGGTTGTACCAGTAGTACAGCAGGGAGCGAAGCTGACTAGTAAACAGGGAAGCCCCTAATAAGCAGACTTCTGGTAAACATAGTCATCTCCCTCCTGTGCTGGCCATCTCTGTTGTAGAAAATGTGGAAGGGAGATGGTTGGGCATCTGACTTGTGCAGTAGGATCTACTGGGAGCTTAGTCCCTTGGGCCCTCTTTGTCTGGGTATCCTCTAAATAGGAGAGACTGTCTTTCTGAGGACCTGCATCCTCCTGGGCCCAGGTGCTTTCAGGACACCTGGCGCCTCAGGCTTTCTAGAAGCCAAAAGCCGTGTTTAGTAACGAGTCCTTTGCTTCCTGCTTGGTGTCTCTACCAGCCCAACACCAGACATCGCATGGTACAAGAAAGGTGGAGACCTCCCATCTGACAAAGCCAAGTTTGAGAACTTTAACAAGGCTCTGCGGATCACCAATGTCTCAGAGGAAGACTCCGGGGAGTATTTCTGTCTGGCCTCCAACAAGATGGGCAGTATCCGGCACACGATCTCGGTGAGAGTAAAGGGTACGTTGTGTGTATTTCTCATTATGATTATTTTGCCAACCCTAAACACCATGACCACCCTTCCCTCTGAGCGTGGCTGGGGGGCAGACTGAACAAGGCTAACTGCTGTGCAGTGGTTGAGGGGAGCAGCGACCTGCCACAGGTAGTATCGCCCTGGATGTGAGACTGTGCACACGCGCGTGTGAGGGGGGGTGGCGTTGTTCTACCTTGACCATCACCCACTTCTCCTTGGCGCTGGGCTCCCTCAGCGGGTGAATTTCCTCCCATGGCCCATCTGGATCATTCTCAGAGCCTTTTCTTTCTTTCATTTTGCATCCTTGTCTGTGACCTGTTGTCCTAGCCTTGTGCAGTCTGTGCATGTGTGCATGGTGTCACGCTTCTTCTGAAGGATGGAGTCATCAGGGCCCTGACTTTTTTACAGTCACTTTCTTCCCCCAAGGCAGAGACGGCCCAGCTGAGCTATTGCAGGGCACCTGTCTTCGCGGGTCCCGGCCATGTGGGCAACGCAGTTCAAGTCATGCTCAGCCCAGGGCTGCGTGGATGATTGGAACAACGGGGTCTGAGACTGGAACACAAGAACTTTCTTAGCGCAGTCGATTGGTCTTGTGAGCCTGGTTTCGGCATCGTACACGCATTTGGTGGTTCCTAGCCTTTTGTAGGGCATCATGTAATAAGATACTTGAGAATCTGATCCAAAAGATCCTTTCCTCAGAAAAATCCACACATTATTTTTAATTACAAAATAATTAAAAGGTGTGGCCAGCTCAGGTCTGCCCTAACCAAAGTTCAGTGCCTCAAAGGATGAATATAAGGCCTTTTCTAGATGGTCTTATCTTGCAACAGTGGAAATCCAGAAGGAATGACCCAGGTGCACATCATGAGCACCCATAGCCTCTGAAGGCTTTGGCCACTGCCCCTATCCCCACCCCCAGCTGATCTAGTAGGTTGGAGATGAGCCCTGCCTCATGGTGCTGAGCTTTATTTTTAAAAAGCCTTCAAAGTATGCTTATGATTGGCCCGCTTTAGAGCTACAGTTCTGTGAACTTGAATAGCCAAATAGGCATCTGCACTGCCACACTGGCAACACGCAGGCTGGACTGGCCTTGCCATGAGGATGCACCCTGGGCAGGTGCTGAAAGTCTGGTGCTGGACCTGGGCTCCTGCCTCCCTCTAGGGAGTCTGTCTGGGTTTCCCTGCCTGCCCCGTGCCAGCTGACTCCCCGCCTGTGCCTGACGTGTCTTCCAGCTGCTCCCTACTGGCTGGATGAACCCAAGAATCTGATCTTGGCTCCTGGTGAAGATGGAAGACTGGTGTGCAGAGCCAACGGGAACCCCAAACCCACTGTCCAGTGGATGGTGAATGGGGAGCCTCTGCAGTGTAAGTAACAAGCTGCTGTCCTACCTGGCTCTCCTCTCTGTCCTTCAGATCCCCATCACTGCTGGTGTATGCCAAGGGTGAAGGCATAGAGGAGCCCATAGGCTGCTGCCTGCCAGCAGCTCACCCCTGCAGACATTGCAGGAGGTGGAGAACTGCTTCCTCTTTGTACAAGAAAGAGCAGGAGGCCTGGAGGCCTGTGGTTCTAGTTCTATGTGTAGGAGATTTCTGCTCCCTTCAGTTTTTCTTCAGCCTTTGCTCCCTGCTCCACAACAACTACAGAGCCTAGCTGTAGATCTGGGCCTAGCAGCTGCATCTCAGAGGGTTTGGGCTCTGAGGCCTACAGAGCTCTTAGTAACCCCTTGCCATTGGTTAGCCAAGCCATACTCTCTGATAAGGGCAAAGTAAGAGGCAGGGTTATGTGGTAATGCAAAAGATTATGGTTTGCTATGAAAAGGAATACAGGTCCAAAATAGATACAGACTTGGAGAAATTGTACTTCTTTCCAGATGGTCAGAATAGAGGACTCCACAGCCTCTTCCAGCATGCAGTCTTGGTCAAGTTTTTACATTATATTCTCTCCATTTGCATTTTTTTAATGTCCAGTCATTGCTTCCTGTAATGAGTCAGCAAGGAAGTATAGGCAGCAAAATCTACCAAACGGGCAAAACAGAGGCGAGAACCCAGAATCCAACCTGACAGCCTCTGATCAAAACAGGTAGTGAGGTGGGGGGGGACAGGGGACCACACACCCTTGTAGACATTTCTTGTGTGCTGGACACAATGCTAGCTACTGCACCCCTGTTAATCTCTCCGATTTCAAATATGAAAGCTGGGAAGAGGAGGCTTGGGTTGGTGCAGTGAGTGGCCAAGATCGTGTGGCTTGGAGGCCCAGGGCCAGACCTCCTTCCTCTGTCCATGAACAGATACAGGCATGGTCGCCCGCAGATCTCTCCATCCTGATAGACTTTACAGGTAAAGCAGGGCATCACAGGATGCATAGATAAGCACAGTCCTGGAGCGTGGGCCCTGGAGAGGGCACCTTTTAGGGGAGTCCCTGAGGGAGTGACTGGCACAAAAGCGGGTTGCTTGAGATTTCCAGGCAGGCCAGCAGGCAGTCGAGTTGCTGGCATAAGTGAGACAAGGTGACAAGGGTGCTGACCCCATCTTCATTGACCTTCTGCTGATTCCCCAGTTCTGGGCCCAGACTTGCAGATCTTATATTCTCAGCCACAGCTGCCCAGGTGGGTTGAGCACGGGTTCATGTTCCCACTGGGTAGACTGAGAAACAGATCCCAAGTAGGGTGAAGGGTCACATGTTTTGACCAGTGGTGAGACCGGGAGTGAGGGCCCACATAGTTCTGTTTCTTCCACGGCACCCAAGTGCCTTTCACTCCACAAACTCTGTTCCTCATGAGAAGTGTCTCCTTCTTATCTCTAGCGGCACCACCCAACCCAAACCGTGAAGTGGCCGGCGACACTATCATCTTCCGGGACACGCAGATCAGTAGCAGGGCTGTGTACCAGTGCAACACCTCCAACGAGCACGGCTACCTGCTGGCCAACGCCTTCGTCAGCGTGCTGGGTGAGCCCTCCCCCCAGGGCCTGGCCTCATCCCAGGTTCAGTTTGTCCTGTGGAGATTAGAAAGACTGCACAGATGCCAGGGCATTGGGAGGGGGTAAGCACGGACACTGGAGATAAGGTTCATGGGAAAGATGGAGACTCAGACTCCTCAAAGCCAGATAAGCAGCGTTAATTGCATCAGAGAAGCCAGTCTTGGTCCTGTCTTTCCCCTGGTGAGAGAGTGCAAGTCTGGCTCATGCTAGGTATGAACATGTTAACTTCATGGGATGCCCCGTACTTCCCAAGGAAAATGGTTGTAAGCATGAAGAGGACTATGGGAGGGCAGCTGCTGAACCCACAGGGTAATTTCAGGAAAACTTTTGCAATACTGGAATGGATATGAATAGGCTTAGGGCAGACAGAAGGCAAACATCCTCCCTTCCCAACTTACCTTTCGAGGCTTGTAGGAGGGAAGGATGACAGGGAAAGATGTCTGGGTCCCTGGAAAGCTGCAGTTAGGGAAGATGAGCAGAAATTAGACTGAGAAGTAAAGGATGGAAGAATTGAACTCCACGCCAAATTTTATCACTCTGGAAATTTCAGATGTCCCACCTCGGATGCTGTCACCCCGGAACCAGCTCATTCGGGTGATCCTTTACAACCGGACACGGCTGGACTGCCCATTCTTTGGGTCTCCTATTCCCACCCTCCGATGGTAAGTCTCAGGAGACAGCTCCTCCTCCACAGTGACCATCTGTCTCACTGGTTCCCAACTGGCCTGTAATAGTACTCACTAAAACCTGGGACCCTTAAGCATCAAACCTGGGAGGAAGGTGGCCAATGATCTGGGTCAACACCCTCATTTACCGAGAAGGAAACCAAGGCCCAGATGGGGCTGAGACTCGCCAGTGGTCAGAGCCAGGTCCTGCAAGGCCTAGGACTCCAGCTCCCAGCCTGAGACTCCTTCCACTGGCCCTGTGGTCTCCCTTGGGCTGGTCCCTTCTCAGTATGCTGTGTTCTGCTGCTTTGTTGTGAGGTTTAAGAATGGGCAGGGAAGCAACCTGGATGGTGGCAACTACCATGTCTATGAGAATGGCAGCCTGGAAATTAAGATGATCCGCAAAGAGGACCAAGGTATCTACACCTGTGTGGCCACCAACATCCTAGGCAAGGCTGAAAACCAAGTCCGCCTGGAGGTCAAAGGTAAATGGCAGGATTCATAGATAGGAGCTGGGGGGGAGGGGGACGTTTCCAGTTATGTGTCCCCTCAGAAAATGTGCTGCCTAATCCTTCGTCCTGGAGGGCTGCAACATGTGCACGCACATGTCCCCTGGAGCTACCAGCTGACCCAGGTGCTGGGGACACTGAACCAGCTTATTATCAGCCAGATCCAGAAGGCCTGAGGAAGCCACTGTCTACACTAGCTTCCACTGCCACTCCTAAAGTGGTATCCTATCCCCAAGCCAGGAGGAAGCACTTGAAGTACCTACTGTTTGATCACCCACACCATTACCCTACATACTGTTTCTGCCACCTTTGGTGGCAGACCCATGCCCTCAAGGTTAGGCATGTCACATGGTGTGGCCACGTAGGGATGGTGGGCAGAGGCTGGGCCAATCGATGGCCAGCTCCCTGGATGTCTGCACAGACCCCACCCGGATCTTCCGGATGCCTGAGGACCAGATTGCCAAGAGGGGCACCACCGTGCAGCTGGAGTGTCGTGTGAAGCACGACCCCTCACTGAGACTCACTGTCTCCTGGCTGAAGGATGATGAGCCGCTCTACATCGGAAACAGGTTCCTGTCCCTCCCTGCCTTGTCCTGGTGCTAGCGTGGGGTACTTCAGTTTCCCATGCTCCTTGGCCAAGCATGTCCCCAAGAAGCTACTGAGGAGGGGGTGACAGCCAGCGTAACTTCCCCTCCTCAAGGCAGGCTGTCTTTCTCACCCTATATCCGCCTCCTGTCAGCTCCCTGCTGTTCCTCCACCTCACTTCTCTCCACCCTCTCCACTTCTCCAGTCTTTCACTCTTCGCTCCTTCCCACCTCCTTTGTTTCCCTCTATCTTCCCTTTCCTCCTCTGCTACCTCCCAGGTAAGCCCTGTGTACAGTACCACTGCTCTCCAGTAGAAAACAAAGTTGACCCCAGCCCACCCTACCCACTATAGTGTGTTGCTCTGAGCCCGCCCTCCACCTCAGGCCCACCCTCCCCTTGCCCAGACACTGTGTTCACTGACATAGAACTGAGGCTTAGGTAGTGACTGTTTTTCAAGGCTCCTCTGAGGGTTTCTGATGCACAGCCAGACTTGAGGGCCCTTGGGGGGCTGGGAAGATAGCTCAGTAGAATAAGTGTTTTCCTGAGGGTCCTGGCAGGATGGTGGCTTCCCATCTGGGCCTGCTGCTACGCTCTTCCTTTTCTCATATCCCCATGCGGGAAGAAGCAGCAGGTAGCGCCCAGCTCCCAACCCACCCCCTGCATCGTGCTTCTGCAGGATGAAGAAGGAAGATGACTCCCTGACCATCTTTGGCGTGGCAGAGCGAGACCAGGGCAGCTACACATGTGTGGCCAGCACTGAGCTGGACCAAGACCTGGCTAAGGCCTACCTCACTGTGCTAGGTAACGGCCACCACCCACACCAAGCACTGATGTCCCCTCCTCGCTGCTCCCCAGCAGGCAGGCCAGCAGTGAGCCCCACATGGTCCCAAGGGCAGCGCCTGTGGTCAGCAACTGGCCAGGCCTGGCAACCTCCTACCTTCTGGTCTCTGGGTTTGGGAGCTGCCACATTCAGGTCAAACTTCAGGCAGCTTAATGGTCCCTTCTCTGATGTGTGATTATTAATTCCCCGAATCCCAGGGGAAGCACACCAGAGTAGCAGAGGGGAGGGTTCCTCACTGTGATCTCCTTTAGTAACCTCACTCACAGCTAACTCCACTAAGTCAATTATATGAGTGACTGGGCTGAGTTTTCTGTTCCCAGCAGCCCTTGTAAACCCTCCCTTTTCGTGCTGCTCCTCCTTGGTGGCATATCAGTGTGCCATGCCCTGAGCAAGCTGATGCCACCTCTTCCTGTGTTGTGGCCGGGTTGAACTGCAAATACTAAGTTGTCCCATGCCAAGGGAAGGTGGCCTATCGCTTCCACAGCAGCAGAGCCCTGCTGTCCCTGCCCTCCTTTGTCTTCTTTCTGGGCATCTACGGCCATGAGAATGTGTGTCCCTGCCCTCCTGCAGTGGAGGGCCATTGGTGGGCCCAGGCCCTAGGATGGAAAGGAAACAGCCATTGAAGAGACACAAGATAGCCTCTGTGAGGTGGGAGGCTCTCCACAGAGGGAAGGTGACACTGTGCCAGGACTGCCTCCGCCAGGGGCAGCTGTCGGGTCCCAGACACCCATCCCCATCCTTCTAGCACACCTCTACCCTGGTAACCTGCTAACTTGCTTAACTCGTCTTCCCTTTGCAGCTGATCAGGCCACTCCAACTAACCGTTTGGCTGCCCTGCCCAAAGGTAATTCCTACTAATCTCCGGCCCTGGCCAGTGGCCTCTCCACACATCCGGGGGTGGAGCCAGAGGAGGAAGGTGCCATGGGAGAGGACTGTGGTCTGTGGCTCCTGGCAATACCCCACACGCTCCATCATGTGGGGCCTCCTCTGGGGTGCCTGCGTCTACCTTCTCCTTGAGCTGGTAGCGCGCCCTGCTCTGGGTTTCTCCCATAGGCTGACCCAAGAAGGCTTTAGCTCTTCGTCCTGTTTCCTTACTGCGGCCACATCACCTCTCCCTGAGGGGGCCTATTCATGCCCTGCTTGGCCTCAGAGCTCAGGAAAGTCAGCTCCCTGCCTGGGATCTGTGGTGTCGTTGCTTGCGGCCTCCCCACATCTGCTGCACTACGTCCATGCAGAGTCTGCCCACACAGTCACACACGTGTGCACACACGTAAACACGGAATAATGTATTTTCATGTGACTCACCTTTCATATCCTTCCATAACTGGCTAGAATATGGATATTGCTATTTGGGCAGTATAGTTTTCTGTATCTTTGCTTCCCTGATAGTCAGTGGCTGGATGGCTTTATGCCCAGGCCAGGATGGAGGCTGTCCTCACTGAAGCAGGCCCAGGGGACCAGAGCTCCAGGCAGGCGCTGCCCTCGCCCTACAAGGAAGCCTGCTGGGCCCCTCAAAGTCTGTGTCTCCTGCCTAGCTGGGTGATCCAAGTCTTCTTCCATTCCCTGGCCTTGTGCTCTGCTCAGCACTGCAGCCCTGTCTTGGGCTCTGGTTCCCTCACTCAGTCACAGACCAGAAGGTGACTATCAGGAGAAAAGGAGAGAAATCTCACATTTCTGCCTCAGCTTTTCTGATGAAGAAGGCAGCCTTCTCCAAACACTGTGCTCCAGGGACATTCACAGAAACCGGGTGGTACTCCCTGTTCTCTCTTCATGCCCTTGCTTTACATCCTGTGATGTTCTTTCGGGTGGGGGTGGAATTTGAGGGAACCCTGGAGGGAAAAGGGTGATCCCTGTGCCAGCTTCCAGGCAGGCTGGGATTGGATCTGCTGGCAGTGGAAACCTAACCCTACAGGGAGCTATCTGGGGCTGGGCTGCCACATGGAGGCTCAGCTCCAACTCAGGAGTCCTGCGTGATGCCTTCTCCTCCTGCTGCCAGGACGACCAGACCGGCCCCGGGACCTGGAGCTCACCGACCTGGCTGAGCGGAGCGTGAGGCTCACCTGGATTCCAGGAGACGATAACAACAGCCCCATCACAGGTCAGCTTGGGGCCCTGTGCTCCAAAACCAGGGAGGAGGGCTGGTAATGGTGGGCCAGAGCACAGGCCTTCCCTGCTGTCTCCCGCACCTCTGTCCTGCCTGGCCTGTTCCCTGGCTGTTCCCCGATTGCTTTCTGTATCATCGCCCCTGAGAGTGATGATACCAATAAAGGGAAGCCACGGAGGAAGTGTGTTACAGCAGGATACCACCAGCCCAGCCCCCAAAGCATCTCTGTCTCTCTGGCCATGCAGACTATGTCGTCCAGTTTGAAGAGGACCAGTTCCAACCAGGGGTCTGGCATGACCATTCCAAGTTCCCAGGCAGCGTTAACTCAGCTGTCCTCCAGCTGTCCCCCTATGTCAACTACCAGTTCCGGGTCATTGCCATCAATGAGGTCGGGAGCAGCCACCCCAGCCTCCCATCTGAGCGCTACCGAACCAGTGGAGCACGTGAGTACTTGGGGGCACCACAACAGCTTGGAGCCAGGCACCCCGAGTTCCTGCTGAGTTCCCTCGTTCCTAGCCATATGCACTTGGGCCAGGTACTTCTCCAAGGCCCAGCCCCTCAGCGGTGAGACAGCACAACAGTCATGCCGTCCACGTCACAGGGTTACTGTGGGGACTCCATCTGAGAAGGGAGGTGGAGGCTTTCTGCGACGCCAGGCATGTGGTAAACACACAGTAAATGTTAATTGCTGCTTTTATTAGTATTGATATGATTGTTGATACTTGATTGTCTGCTGAAAGAGGGAGATTGTGGTCAAGCTGTGCAGCAGAAATGCAATCTGTCTGCAAATGTAAGTCACTTTCTTCCCCAGATGTACTTGGGGAGTGTTTAGATTTCTGAGATTGCAGCGACTCATAGAGGATGGAGATGCTCCCAAAAAAGATATGAAATGCAGGGGATAAAGCAGTCTGGTATGAAACATATTTAGTGGATAATCCGTGAGGGGATAATCTGCATTGAGTTGGCTTATTGGCCACCCACGGTGTGGAAAGCCTTGTGCTAAATGCTGTCTGGTAAAGGATTAAAATTCAGAGGAAATTAGCTCTGCTTTGGGAGTGTAAGTCTTAGCTAGCAAGGCATGTTGTGCACATGGGAGAGAGGGAGTTCAGAGTGTATAGATACATAGGAAGGACCGACCAGGGAGTGGGAGCTGGGCACTTACTGGGCCCTAGAAGGACACACTGGACTTCAATTCTGTCCCTTTTTGGGTTCCAGCCCCGGAGTCCAATCCTGGTGACGTGAAGGGAGAGGGGACCAGGAAGAACAACATGGAGATCACATGGACGGTAGGCATGCTCCCCGCGCAGCCCACACACATGGGAGGCTGCCCTGGCCGCCCTACGGCCATAGCGGGGTTCAGGCTAGGTAGCTGCTTTGGGTAGCTGACCTCTGAGATGTGCCCCACTCTGAGTTGGGCATTCAGAATCCAAACAGGATGTGTGTCCAAGAGCCAGGTATCAGAGAGGACAGAGGTGGAGGCAACCAAATCTCATAGGCTGCCCAAGTCTAGCAGAGCTCTTGGAGAATGCCAGTAAACTAAGAGGCACTTAATTTGAGGAAGGAAGACCTTGGGTTAGCCTTTAGGGAAGCGCTGGGAGAAACCCCAGCTCTGTGCTCTGCTGCATCCTCTGGTCTTTGCAGTGGAGATGTTGGGAGCATCTGGGACACGTCCGGGGCAGGCCCTTTGTTACTTACAGAGTGGTTCCGTGAGATGAAGGGCCGCCTCCCTCCAGGATGGTCAGGTCCCCTCTTCACTGGCTCCAATCTGAGATATGTGATCCCCAAATCAGTTTTTTTTCTAAACTGCTTCCAAGTCTGAGAGACAGAAATGCAGCCAAGACATATTAGCGTTTCTAAGTCGCTGCTCCAAGAAGTGGAATCAGGAGACACAGAGAGTGCTCAGAGTCTCCTCATTCCTGCCACTGGGGGTCTGCCTACCCCCATCTCGGCCACACACTACAACAACTTCAGGCTGAGCACAGGTTCAGGAGCCAGGGCCTTCAACTCAACCTGGTAGGCTCCAGGGGTGGGATTCCTGGGCCAGGTTCTCGGAGTGTAAAGGAACGGCCTCCACATGGATTGGGCAGAACTAACATCAGTTCTAGAATTTTGAGCTTATCAGAAGGTGGCATCAAAGGTCATCCTTTGCTGATTTGGGAGACGATCACTCACTGGCTGGCTTTTGTCCTAGAAGGGAGCACTGTTGAAAATACAGCCTTTACTTCCTTTGTACTGACAAATGGGGGTGTCTCAGATAAAGTGTAATGTATTGAAACTGTGTATGCTGGGAGGCTGTGACAGGAGGATCACCATGAGTCTGAGGCCAGCGTGGGCTCCATAGGAAGTTTAATGCCAACCTAACTGCATAGGGAGACCTTCTTTAAAAAAAAAAAAAAAAGAAAGAAAGAAAGAAAGAAAGAAAGAAAGAAAGAAAGAAAGAAAGAGAAATCTTTCCATACTACAGCACTCTGGGCTTTAGGGGACTCAGCAGAGGAGGGGTGTGCTCTCTCTTCCCTGCATGGGGGGCTGACCAGTGTTGGAGAGGCTGTGGGGAGGAAGGAGGGTGGCACAGAAAGAGAGGACAAGCTGTGGCGGACTCAGCTCCTCACCTGTACCCTTTGCCCTGCCTGTTTCTCTGTCACCCTGTGCAGCCCATGAATGCCACTTCCGCCTTTGGACCCAACTTGCGCTACATCGTCAAGTGGAGGCGGAGAGAGACTCGAGAGACGTGGAACAACGTGACGGTGTGGGGCTCTCGCTATGTGGTGGGGCAGACCCCTGTCTATGTACCCTATGAGATCCGGGTCCAGGCTGAGAACGACTTTGGGAAGGGCCCAGAGCCCGACACTATCATTGGCTACTCCGGAGAAGATTGTGAGTACCTGCCTCTCCCCTCCTCCCTAGGCAGGATCCTGCGGCTAGGCCACACAAGGACACTCACAGGTCAGGATCCTCACGGAGGCTCAGCTGGTTGCCTGAAAGAGAAATAAATACCCTGTGGTGGCCTGGAGGGTACAGGGGAGGGAAGATCACCTGACACCAGTTAGAATCGCCAGATATTGTCACAGTCCAGCACTCATACTGTGCAGTTGTAAAAACTGAAGCCCGAAGAGAAAGCCATGCTCCATAGAGACAGTAGATACATCATGCTTGAAAACAGTGCCCAGGTCTCTAGATCCCAAACCAGGCCCCAGAAAGTCTCTTAACATCTACCCCAAAAAGCTATCATTTAGCACCTCAAAGAAGCTGGGCTGCAGGCTGGACTCCTCCTGTGGGCAGCACAAGCCTTGAGCCCTGTGGAAGTCTTCAGCGCTGTAGACCAGCCACCTGCCAACATTCCCAGTTTGCTGCTCCCTGCCCTCAGAACTGAGCATTAAAAGAGTTCTTTCACAGTGGCAGGGGTAAAGCAAGGCTTTAGACATATCTGTTGCAGTGTGCCAGCCACCCAGAGGGTGGTGGCGTCTTTGTGCCCAGGGCTCGGTTCTGCAGGCTCCTGAGCAAAGCAGATCAGCACAGTCCCCTCCTGGCTTAGGATGACCGCTGCCCCACTGAGTGTGTGCTCAGTCCCAGAGGAGAGCGTGGCAGTGGAGGGGAGCAGAAGGAAAAGAAGAGGGGTGTGACTGGACAAAGTGCATTCAGAAGGGGCAGTGCTGGGCCCAGAGTAGAGCCACAGTTAGCAGGCATGAGGGCTGAGCCGGCAGAGGGGGCATGGGTTAGACCCCCTGGAGAGGAGATGAGTCAGTAAGCATTCTGTCCATCCACTTCTGGACAGGGCTTTAGTGGGAATGCTGGATGGCAGGTGTAGACAGGGCAGTCTCTAACCATGGCTTCCTGGACCACCCCTGTCTCCCATCTACCATGGGTCCTGTGCCCTGATAGATTAGTGTCAGGGCAGCCACACTGTAGCAGAGCGGAGAACAGAGGGAGGGGATGATCCTCCCTTCTGAGGGACTTGTAGGATCAGCCTCACTTCCTGAGTGAAGCCATAGCATCTCCCAGTCTGTGAGTAATGCCTCCTGCTGACAGAAAATAGATATTGCTCAAAAGGAACCACTAATAATGTGTGGACAGGGTTAGAGGGTGCACAGCCAGGCACATGAACCTCTGCAGTGTGGGCAGCCATTATGCCACTCTGAGCCTGGAGGGCCAGGGAAAAGCATCACCGAACCCATGAGGATCACTCTAAGGAGCTTGGCCTTGGAGGAGAGTGCTAAGCTGTCAATCTGCAGCCCAGCAGAGAAAAAGCCAGGGAAGCAGCACCTTCCCTCCCGCCCTGAACCTCCTGTTGGCCCCACTGTTGGAGTTCAAGAGCAGAGGTGCCCAACAGATGAGAGAGGAGCTGACTGGGTCACAGGGCAGGTCGGGGAGGGTGCAGAGTGACCAGAGCACAGCTCATCGCCCCGCAGGTGGGCTCCCTCTGGCCTGGCCTGTTGCTCTCCTGCCCTAAAGCTTCCTCTACTCCTCTAAGTGTAGCCTGAAAGAGAAGACATAGCCCTGCCCTCCTGGAGTCCCCAGCGTCCAGTGGGGTGGGAACTGGCCAGCAGAGAACACATCGGATGGGATGTAGGCACCAAGGGCCAGCCCTGCCCATTTAACCCACTCTCTGCCAACACATTGCAGATCCCCGGGCTGCGCCCACCGACGTTAAGGTCCGAGTCATGAACAGCACAGCCATCGGCCTGCAGTGGAACCGGGTCTACTCCGACACGGTCCAAGGCCAGCTCCGGGAGTACCGAGTGAGGAGGCCACTCCCAATCCTCTAACAGCCTGGCATGCTAACCAGGGCAAGGGGTAGCAGAGATGGTGCGCAGGGCACTAGGGAAATGTATTGGATCCACAGCTAATTCAAGATGATGTCTAGGATGAGCTGTTGAAAAATTATACGTATCCAGTCATGAACCACTTAATGACAGGCGTGTCCTGAGAAATGCATTGCTGGGCAAGCTCAGCATTGCACCAGCATCCGAATGTGTGGGCACGAACCTCCCTGATGTAAATCTGTCACTCAGGTGGCCTCTTGGTGCAATCAAGGAACAGAGTAAACACAGGCTGCATGCAGCTGCTGCCGGCATAATGCTGCAGTACAGGAAATGCTTTCTTAGAGTAGGATTAAAAAGTATGAAATAATGGTTAAAAACGTACTGTGTAAGTACATCATCCCACTCAGTGGTTGTTTATTACCATTACCAAGTACTGTGAACTGCGCATAACGGTAAGTGCCACAGTGTCACAGGCCTGACCACGCAGTGGGTTTGTTATGCTAGCAGCGTCACAGATGTGAGTAATGAGTGCGATGCAATGTTTTGGTGGCTATTCTGTCACCTCGTGATAGGACTTTTTGAGCCTCACATCACCTATGTGGTCCTGCGCCGGCAGTGACACTGTGGCTCATGACTGCATACGTATGCTCATGCCCAGATGAGTCTTGCAGAGGAGCTTCTGGAGATTCTGCTCAGCAGAAAGCCCTGACAAGCGTGGTGGGTTTGGGCTGACGTGGCACAGCATGTGCATTCATCACACGTGTGAGTGGGCACACATGTATCTTCAGGTGCAATGTTAAGACTCCAGCGAGCTCCATCCCTACCCCTGCTATTTGCTTCCCCAGTGGCTCCAAAATGCCGCCCCTAACAGGCAAAGCCACCGAAGTGGTACAGGCACCTGCCCTATTGCCATAGCCGATTCAGGGTTCTGCAGCAGGAGGGGTGTCAAGGCCCTTGGCTTGTCCTGGTCCTGCCCAGGTTCCTGCCTTTGGAAGGGTGGGCAGAGATGGGAGAGAAAACCCAGGGTATGCAGAGCTCTCCCTCGTGTGCTGGGAAGTGCGGGAAGCTGTAACCCTGGGTCAGCGCTGAATCTCTGGCCTCAGAAGTCATCAGCAGTTGGTTGATAGTGGAAAGGGTCAGTCTCCTCTCGGAAAATGATTTTGGCACTAGGAATAGGAAGGCACTCAAGCGAGCTCTTTCCCAGCAGCGACTTGCGCCCTTCGCCTGTTGCCTGGATCTTTTTCTGGCTAAAGCCACCATCAGTTCCCCTTAATCTGGACTTCCTCCTTCCTTTGCTCTGGGCAGCATGGGTGACACTGCTGTGACAGCCTGGCTTCCTTCCCACTGCTAATCAAACCTCCACTGCACCCTGTGATACTACCACCTTCCGTAGCCATCCTGTCCTGCCCAAACTCCACCACCATGAGGCCCCACACACCACTGACTTGGACTTGTGACTGCCCCTTGGGTATGTGTGTGGCTCATCTCGAAAGGTCTTCAAACAATAGGAAAAGAGACCGTTTGGCTTCAAAGGATTAAACCAGCCTTTGCTCACATCCAGCCTTCCTTGGGTAACCTGCTCCTTGTCAACACCTGCCTGCCGCCAATCTAAACTGTACTAATCAACTCCAAGTGATGCGGTCTTTGCGCCTAGAGCAGAACTTTCCATGCTGGACCTCCTGGATCCTACTTGTGGTTCCAGCCTGGTCGAGCAACATGTTATCCAACTTGGAAATAAATCTTATGATGCATGGAGCAGCTCAGATCTAGTGTGGCCAGTTTGCCCATTCCCCAAAAAGGTGGCCATAGCTCTGAAAATGAGTGAAGCCATAGCCTTATCTCATTCAGCACAAATTCATATTTGCCAGTGGCTAATGAGGGGGGACTCCAAGGCTGCTCATCCAGTCCTGGAGGCATTTGGGACTTGGAGCCTATAGTGAACAAAAGGAAGACCAGTCACTATCACCACCACTAACCACTAACCCGATGTGCCACCTGACCTCTCACGAGCCTGCCTCTTCCCGAAGGCCTACTACTGGCGTGAGAGCAGCTTGCTGAAGAACCTGTGGGTGTCTCAGAAGAGACAGCAAGCCAGTTTCTCCAGCGACCGCACCCGGGGCGTGGTGGGTCGCCTCTTCCCCTATAGTAACTACAAGCTGGAGATGGTTGTGGTCAATGGGAGAGGCGATGGGCCCCGCAGTGAGACCAAGGAGTTCACCACCCCAGAAGGAGGTAGGTGTGACCTGTGGTTCTGCCAGGTGGGCAGGACAAGGGTAGCACGCGCTGGTGGGCCTGGAGCAGCCTCAGTGTGGCTTGGCATGGACAGCACGCAGTGACCTCCGTGTGGCCTCAAGGAGCTGATGACCTGCAGGCTGAGCAGCCCACCATTGTCACAATGTTCTCCATCAGCAAAGTGTCCTCTCCTGACGGGAGATTGTATCTCAAGAGAAGCCATGTGCAGTATGCGGGTGTGATTCCAGATGGGATGTGCGGATTGACCCCAAGAGACTTCAGAGCCAGGCTGCCCCAGCACCTTCTGGCCCAGTTTCCCGGATGACTTGTCTGCCAGCTCCTAAGCCCTCAGCTATCCCTACCACAGTGCGATCACCAAGCAGTGCCCGAGAAGTGGGCCTGCAGGAAGGCCCCGCTTCCCTCCCTCCCACAATCATGTAGCTTGACACAATCCTGGGATGCAGACATCCACAAAGCTCAGGTCCCCTCTGCTCTTGCCAAGCCTCTTACCCACTTTACATTTGCTTTGTCTTCTGTTTTTCCTCCTCCCTTCTTAATCATTTCTCCATGTTTCCTTTTTCTCCAACCTTCCTTCTCTGCTCCTGTGTTCTTCTAACTTTATTCCTGTCTTTACTACCTCCTTGCTTTGATCTTCATCATCGGCCTCACCCTATCACTCCTGCTCCCCATTCCAAGTGCTCCCCCTGATTTCTTCTTCCTCACTTGAACTCAGAATGTTCCACCCAGAAGCTGGGCCAGTGGCCTGGACTCGGGCAAGAATCTTGGAGGATTTGGAAGACAGCTGCGATGGGTTCCCACCCAGGAATGCTCTGCTGGGTTGGAGGCACCTTTACGGGATTGGAGCCTAACATCTGCCAGGGTTATTGTTAGAGGAAAACCTGGCCTACTTCTTCCCCCACTTAAATAGCAAAGTCTAAGCCAGACCAAGCCCCATGACTAAGCAAGCCAGTTTCCAGGGTGGGCATCAGGTTCCATACTTGTCCTCCAGGTTCTGCTTCAGCAGCCGTCTAGCTGATGTCAATGCCTTCATCCTGTGCTTTGTCTCTCGTGTCTTCCTTGTCCTCCCTGCCTTCCTCCCCCATTTTCCCCTGCTCTCTCCTCCTTCCCCAAGTACCCAGCGCCCCCAGACGTTTCCGAGTCCGGCAGCCCAACCTGGAGACAATCAACCTGGAGTGGGACCATCCAGAGCACCCCAACGGGATCCTGACTGGATACACCCTCAAATATGTGGCCTGTATGTTCTGCCCTTCATTTTCCCTGAAATTATCTGAGAAACCCCGCGTTCTCACCACCTCTCCCAAGGAAATGAGGTAGAAAAACAGAGGACATTGTGGAGGGATGGAGGGCACAAGGAGAAGTTGCCCACAGGTTACCAGAGCCAGATGCCACCCAGTCCTGCTTTCTGTGCACAGCCTAGGTGGCAGGGAGCTCCTAATCTGACAGGTAGGATTCAGGAAATGCCTGTTTAACGAGGGCAACAACCTCGCCTTAGGGATCCAGTAGTCCCCAATGCCTCCAGGTGCTGGAGAAAAGAAAGTTCCATCCAGTGGAACAGACCGTGTGACAGACACCCAGGGGACACCTTAAGAAAGTGTAATCTGTGTAAGATGGCTATATGTGGAACAGCCAAGCAACTTCGGAGCGAGTCAAACCAGGGACCTGGGGCAAAAAGACCTCGCTTTGGGATCTCAGTGTTACGATACAGGGACATGAGTGTCGTTACAACGTGCAAATCATCAAGGCTTCTAGTGTGTCAGTATTGTACCTTACTAAGAACTCAAAGGGCCAGGCGTTGTTCTAGTAACAGTTTCAGTAGTCAACCATGTGCTCATGTGCTATCCTGAATCTATCTCCGGACCTGGCCCCTCTCCTCTCAGGCATAATGAATACACCTTTTGCGAAAAGCATTAGCTGTCAGAAACCCTGATGGGTTTTCCCCACTTCTGTTTGAATGAAAGGAGAGAGAAATTTGTCCCTGTCCAAAGGGCTTCGGAAACTAGGAAATGAACCTTTCCATATCAGTTCCCTGACTTTGTAGACAACTGGAAACAAAGGCCTGTGGAGAAGCACTGACCCTGAGGCAGTGAGTGAAGAGCAGTGCCCCACCTTCCAGCCCAGCCCAGAGGGTGTAGCAGGAGCCCTCACCCCCTTTGCAGGAGGTCAGGAAGGTGTTCTTCCAACTCCTGATGAAAAAAACTACCAGGCAAGCACCGCTGAATTTCCATTCACTTCCATCTCTCTCCCTAGTTAATGGAACCAAGTTGGGAAAACAGATATCGGAAAACTTCTCTCCCAACCAGACCAAGTTCTCTGTGCAGAGATCAGACCCTGTGTCACGCTACCGCTTCACTCTCAGCGCCAGGACGCAGGTGGGCTCTGGGGAAGCGGTCACAGAAGAATCTCCAGCACCTCCCAATGAAGGTAGGTCCACGGGGACCCCTGGGCTGAAAGGCCCCAGCTCATTTAGTTGCCTGAGAAGCACACTGAAAACTGGGCTTGGCCCTGTGGAGTGGAGAAGGCAAGAGGCTGTAGGTTCTTGAGTCCCTGAGGGGAGCCAGACTTCCCAGTGCTGCACCTGAAGAACTTGAACCTCACCAGACCTGGGCCCCCACGTTCCCTTGGAGTACTCAGCAACTTACCATCGACCTTCTTGTAAGAACAGAGGAAGAGAGCAGGAGAAAGAGCTGAGGGAAAGTTTGTCAAAAGCAAATATGCTGGTAAACCCCAAAGAATAGTGAAACTTCACACTCAGAGAGAGGCAGGAATGTGGCTGGGAATGCCCTTTGAGGACGCGGGGTGATCTTTCCCAAGGGCACTTGGGGACAGGAAATAGGAAGAACGGCCACCATTGCTTGCCCAGACCATGAGTATGACAGGGACTGTTTCTCTTTCATCCTGAATTGGGAGAGCTGTCCAGGCTCCAAAGAGGAAAGGGGCTGGGAAACAGGTTTAGAAAGAACCAGCAGGCTCATCTCCCTGGGTTCTAGCGCGTTCCTGCTGCAGTGTCCCCCGCTAGAGCTGTGCCTGCCGTAGTACTCCACTAGAAGGCGCTGCAGGCTTCCCTGGGAACCTCCCTAGCCTGCAAGACTGCAAAAGCCTCACTATTGACAGACAGACCCCTGTGAAAAGGTGAGGACCCCCCTGTCTCTCCAGAAGTGCCGTGATCTAGGCAATGTCCTTTTTTTTTTTTGGCAGAACCGGGAACTGAACTTGGGTACTCACATGGTGCAGTGCACCGGAAACAAGGGACACGAAGACTCACAGTGTAGGGACAGCCCAAGAGTATCTGATTGTCTGCCAAGGGAAGGGAGTGCAGCAGCTAGACAGAGGAATGGCTTTCATTCTGCAAGCAGGGACCCCAAAGAGGAGATGTGCTTAGGCGTCCCCAGGCTGATAAGTAAGCATGCCTACTGCTTTCCCAGGAAGGCTCAGGCTCTGCAGCCTGACCCCAGCCTGGAGGGCCTCTTCAGGCACCTCCCTGCCCCATCCCAAGATAGCATGGTGTGGCCTGCTGGGTGACTTGCTGCCCCAGCCAAGGCTCCCCGTGCAGCTGTCTCTGCCGCCTTGCATCCCTCAGTGCCAAGGCAGGGTAGAGGTGCTGGGCAGAAGTTGGAGAAGGAGCCACAAGCCCCCCTCTTGGTGTACACACACACACACACACACACACACACACACACACACACACACACACCAGGCACTTGGGAAATTCATTAGGGCTGAGGGACTTCAGGTAAGTGACTGATACAGGCTTTTCCTGAAGGCCAGGCCCTGCAGCACTTTCTCAACAAAGGGCCTCTTCCTACACTGTACAGGAGAGCAAACAAAAAGCCATTGTCCAGCTTCAGTGACCACCACAGGGAAAGTTCTGCAGTCCCAGGAGACAAAAGAACAAAGAGATATTTTCTTCTCATCCTAGAAATCTGCAGCAAATTCGACAGATTTGTTTTGGGCTCTGTCCACACAGGTTTCCAATTTCATAAACAAAGAACAATTGGTAGAAAATCTGGAAGGCCAGATCAATCAATTGTCAGTCTTACAATCATGCTTTGTAAGACTGACATGGAGTTCAGGGGGCAGGGGTTGCCAGCCAAATATGGTCCCCCTCACCTGCCTACTCCAATGCTATTTAGCACCTTCCAGCAAAGACAGACTCAGGAACCACCCTCTTGACGGAGTTGTCTTCTACCACCTACACCTCACACGGTTCATTCCTGGCATCCAGAGGGTAACCAACCCAGTGGGGCAGGATACATCCTTGGAAGAAGAGCTGGGCACACAGCATTCTAGGAGCCTTATCCCTGCTGCTCCCTCTTAGGTGACTATTCCTTAAATAGGGGTAGACACAGGATATGCTAGAAAAGTTTCCAAGACCCCGGTAGAAGGGTAAGTTTCCGCGTGATCCTAGGAGGGTTAACCATCATCCTGAGTGTCAGTTGGCACCCCTAAGGCCACACCCAGGGCCACAGCCAGCACCTGGCCATACATCTGGGTCAGGTGTGAGCAAGGTCTCTGCTTGCTTGTCCTGTGGTTTCACCTCTGGTCTGTTTTCTCTTCCTTCTCTCATCCTCCTTCCCTCTGGTCATCTTGGGTGCTGTGTCTGAAGCTACTCCAACCGCAGGTACCGTACCAACAGCAGAGGTAACGGGTGTGGCATGGGGCAGCATAGGTGGAGACCAGCCAGGGTGGAGCAGGAGAAGCTTAGGCCGAAGCATGCTCCCGACTCACCCTTTCAGTGATGGGGAAGCCAGACCTGCATGGAGTGTGCAGCAGAGTCCAGAGGAGAGCAAGTGTGCTATCCCATTCACTTAATGCTTGCCCCCTCCTGAGACGGAGTGTGGCTTGGAAGGGGACCCCCTTGGGCTCCTGGCTGCTCTCTGGCACTGCAGCTTTTCCTGAGGCTGAGTGGTTACTTCATGTGCACAGCCTGAGCCCTCCTGGACTTGCCAGCCCAGAGAACAAAGCTGGCCCTAGAAGGCCTGCTGGAGCTGGGGCAGCTGGGTCCAGGTCAGGCCACCGCACCCTGAAAGGGTGAATGCGCCAAGCATGCTGGCTGTGCATGCTGCATGGGGGCCCCAGCGCCAGGTCTGCCAGCTGCTACAGGCTCTGGCCACTGAGAACAAGCACACGTGTCCTTGGGTAGGGCAGGTGCTCAAGAACCTGGAGTTTCGGGGGACACTGTGGGCAGATGGTCTCCTCACCCTTCCGGTTCTCAGTCCTTAGCATTAAGAACAGTCTCCACTCTCCAGGTCTAGGAAGTGGTGAGGCAGGCACATTGTGGCTTAGGAGCTGACCTGTTTGCCATGTTCTTCCTTTAGTCCTTGTGGTGTGGGTTGGAGAACCATCAAAGGACTTGTCACCGCAGAAACCTTATCCCAAATCTAGAAAAAGCAAGGCAGCAAATGTCAGGCTCCTCTCCTGGCTCTCTGAGCTGAATTGTTTCAGTTGAGAAATGAAACCAGGGTTCAGCGGCAGTGCAGGGGCTGTGAACAGGGGCTCACAGCTGCCTCCTTGAGTAAGCTGCAGGCAGGGGCAGAGCTGAGCACCAGCCAATGACCCGAGGCTCAATGTAGGGAAAGGATGATGCCCCCTTGCCTGGTTTGGTTTCCTCCCCGCCTTCGCTCATTTGTCTTCCTGCCCCCTTTCTAGGTTTGGTTCTATTTCTGTTGCATACCCTGCTTCCTTGAGTTTGCGTATGTTTTGCAGGATCTGTGGGTGGTGAGCAGCTCTTGTCTTTCCCTCCTGCAGTCCTCTTCACCGCCTCCACTCCTCAGTAATCCAGGACAGCTAGGTAGGGCCCAGGGACCCCCCACAGGTCTTAACACCTCCACTGCAGCCAGGAGGAAAGCAGCCCTTGCTGTGCTGGGGCTCTCTTGATTTTCTGATTCAAGTTCCTATGAGTCTGTCCTGCGGCCATTATAGCAGGAGCTCAGGGCAGCCTACAGAGAGGGCACCAGGCACATAGGCTTGAAGCTTTCTGGTCAGGCAACTCCCTGTCCGCCTTCCTCATTCTGGCACCCTAGGAGACGGGTGTCCAGCAGCAGAGAGTCTGCCTTGGTCCGCGGGCTTCTGCGCCAGCCTGTGATGCCCTCTCAGGAGTGGCATTTGTGAGAGAGATGACAGGTATTCCAAACACCCCACTTCCTACTTCTATTTAGAAAAGATCAAAACTCAGCATGTTACGCAGAAGGAGCTCGGGGACTCTGTCCATCAATCACGTGTGTTTGCAAGGCGCCAGCTTGTACGTGCCAGGCTGGTCGAAGCAGATTGCACTTTTTTGGACGCGATGTGCTGATAATATCAGATGTTGTTAGCTTTGCATATATAAGAACCTTCTGTGCAGTCCATAGGTGCCAGCAATGGAGCTCAGGTTGTACATTTTTCACGTGTGTCCAGAGTCCAGCCCACCACTCCTCTCATCCTTTCCAAACCTGGGCCTTTTCCCCAAAACTGATCTATTCATATCTTCCCAGCAAAGATAATCCCTCACATCCACCTGTATTTGCAGTCTGTTCTGATTGCTACCCATCTGTCGGACAATCTGTGATTGGCCAGGGTGGATCGCACACCATGTGGACGGTTTTGGACTGAGCATTCCACCTTGGAATGTCTGGACACTTTGTCTTCGGTTTTGACACAGCTCAGATCTGCAAATACTGGGTGGGCTCCTGATGGGTGCTCAACTCTGTGGCAAGTTTCGGGGACAAAAATGAATGAGGCATGTCATCTCCACAGTTTTCTCCATCTCCTACACAGTACTCTCTGAAGCTCTGGTGGAGAATCCTTAGCTGAGGCTGGGATGTCTTTCAGTGCACCTGTGGCCTCCCAAGGGGCTGATAGAACCTTAGCTGTGGTGGGCCCGTGGGCCTCAAGCTCCAGGTTGCCCTAGATGCCCCCTTAGTGATGAGGGCCCCTGCTCTATCTTCTCAGTTGCCAAGCCATGGTCTCCACTGAGCACAGACCAGGGTTGTTGCCAAGCCTAGTGGGCCTACTGTGGCTGGAAATGACACTCTTGCCAGGGACGTAGCCCCTGCTGGCCTTACTGACTTTCTTTCCATTCCCCCAACTCAGCTCAGGGGCTGAAATGATCTCTGTGTCTCTGGGCCCAAGAAGGGGGTGGTTTTCCCTAGGGAAATCATGTCTCCTTTTTCTGCCTGGCCTTTGACAGCTCTGGCTCCTGACCCCGCTGTGCTTTCTCTCAGGCCTTTCTTTCTTGCCTCTGCCCTCCCTCCTCATGTTGGTGCTGCTGGCCACCCTGGGTCAGAGGCACATTAATTTGCCAGCTGTGACCTCAGCCAGATGAGGTTATGTCCTCCACAGTAACTGATAGTGAGCACCCTGGGAGGCCACCTAGATGGTGACTCCTTTCCTCTCTCCCCTCACTGTTGCATTGACTTTTGCCACTGAGCTGGAGGGAACAGCAGCTAGGCAGCCATCACCAGCAGGAGCAGCTTTCTTCCTGCATACTTGGCAGAAAAGTGTGGTGGGGACAAGGTGGTCTGGAAGCATTGCCAGACTCACTTTTCATCCTGTCTCTGATCAGCGTTGCCAAGTGAGGCACACACTAGTCCAGCGTTAGCAAAGCTTCTAGAGACTGAGAGCCCAATCTGCAACCCAAAACCCATTTATAGCAAAAGGCCAATACTGTCCCTGTATGTGCTGTTATCCAAGGCTCAGCTGCTAGGTGATACCAGGGTGCCTTGGCTGGCGTGTCCAAGGAGAAGGCTGTGCGTGCCCACTGCAGCGCACATGCTGTAGCTTAGCCATCGCTGTCTTGCTACTCTCCACAGCTCTGGGAAGCACCTGGGCCCGCTGCAGGTGGGGAGGTATGGACATGTCATCTCTACTTGGGTGAGGGCCAAGGGCGTGTGAGTATGTGTAGCTTTGCAGATGATTGACTTGGATTTAGAAGCCTGAGAACATACAGCCCAAGGAAATGAGAGAAAACAAGCCCAAGGCCTGAATCCGTTTCTACAGGGGTGAAAATGGTGATTCTAGTTACCAGGGAGTGATTTCTAGTAATGCCTATAGATAGTCATGGAAAAGGCTCCCGTGAGCAATTCCTCTGCCAGGAATTATTAGAAATATAATACTGATGAGGGACTGAATTGGAGCAGTCCTGCCCAGATGGACAAACAGCCTCTCCCGGCTCATCCCAGCCCCACTGAGCAGCAGGAGGAGCCCTGAGTGTGCAGGGCCATGGTGCAGCATGATCCAGGCCTGAGGACCTGACCTCACTGCCGGTCTCTCTAGCTTTCTGGGCTGTGGGGGACATGCACAGAGCATCTTGGTGGGTGGGACATATGCAACCCCTCATGCTGAGTGTGTTGCTTGGGCGACCTTAGGACTAAATTTATATGAAGACTCAGGGAGGCAGGGCCCCCCACGCTGGCCTTCCTGATGTCTTGAGCGTTGTCTGGGGTTTGGGGAATGCTGTTCTGTTGGTTTTGTACTTCCCCAGGAATCTGTGCGATGTGTAGGGCACAGTCAGCTCTCCAGTGTGACTTCTGTGGTCACCACCCTCAGGGCCCAGTAGATCTCTGATCTTACCAGTAGGGAGGACCAGGGACCCCAGGAACCTTCCTTCCTCCTCTCTGGGGGACTTGTAATATTGGAGGCCTAGGGGAATGAAAAGACTTTGTTGGTTGGGCTGTGGCTTAAAAGGCTTAGGATCTCTTGATTCTGCCCCGTGGAAAGCTCTCTGGCAGTTTCTTCTCTCAGACCTAACCTTTCTACAGGGGTGGGAAGAGACAGGATTTTTTCCCCTGAACTTCTGGAGATTTTTTTTGTTTGTTTGGTTTTGTTTTGTTTTTTGGTTTTTGGTTTTTTTTTTTTTTTTTTTTTTTTTTTGGCGGAACCAGGGATTGAACTCAGGCCCTTGCGCTTGCCAGAGAAGCGCTTATTCCACTGAGCCATCTCCCCAGCCCCTTCTGGAGATTTGAGACAGGGTAGGATATCACTGTTTCTTGGGAGTTAGAGTTGTCAGTTTATGTCTGAGGTTCCTGACTACTTACTGCCCCATTAACATAAATACTGCAGAGTAGACTCTGGTTAGATCACAGGAGATAGAGTACAAGGAGGAGAGGTAGCTCTGCCTCTCTGATATATCCCACCTTTCTTCATCATTCTCAGCTTCAGCAAATATTTACTAAGGATAAAGCAGATATATGTTAGTGTCCATGTCTCTGCTGGAGAAGGAAGGGGACCTATGAAAAGGTTGTCACATGTACACACATAGCCCCTGGGACCAGCTGGCATCAAAGAGTAACCATGGGTAGAAGATGGCATTGTGAGACTGAGCCTAGCTCTGGGCTGCTCTGTGCCCAAGTAATGATTAGACAGCAAAGAAGCCCAGCACAGGCTCGCCAGCAGCTGGGATTTCCCTGTCATCTGTGAAAGATATGTCACTGAGCACCAGCCACACTGTGAGGTCACCAGTGCCCCTTTTCCCAGGCTCCAGTGCAAGCAGAAAGGACTTGGGTGCCCAGGCCTCAGATTTCCCAGAGAGAACGGCAGTTAACAGAAGTCAGGGTGGAATGGGACAATTTCAGGAAAGGAGAGCCGGGAGCTCAGCTATGACCCGGCACCTTGCAAGGCCACCCTGCCACCCCCACCAAGTGCACCCTGTTCTCTCTCAGCCTTGGGTCTGGGTGACTGGCAGAACAAAAGCAGATAAAAGTGCCTTTGAGTGAAATTTGGAACAGCGGGCTCCCCAAACCCCTGCAGGCTGGGGCTTAAACCTCGGAGGCCAGGGTTGCAGGGCTGGACCCAACTGGTGCTGCTGGGCTTGGGTCAGTGTGGCATTTGGCTGGGACCCCGTGCTGTCCCTGGGGTCTGAGTGACTTCACCGGGTGCCACCCTCATCCTCAGCTGGGTGCATGTGGGTGCTTTGAACCGCACAGACCATGAGAAGAAAATGAGCTACACAGCGGGCTTCATTCTCTTCCTTTCTTATGCCTGTGTCCGCGCTGGCTGTGGTCTGTCACAGGCGGTTAGTCTGCGATGCTTGGGGAGGCTTCTGGTTTCCAATGCCCTCTTTCTGGGCTGCCTGCCTTGCACGCGGGGGCTGAGTGTGCAGGCAGGGCACAGCCAAACCAACCCGACGTGGCTGTTCTACGTTTCCCTCTCAGCACCTCCCACGTTGCCCCCAACTACCGAGGGTGCGATAGGCACTGTGAGCAGTACTGAAGCTACTGCCGCTGCTGCCACCACCGAAGCCACAACAGTCCCCATCATCCCAACTGTCGCACCTACCACCATCGCCACCACCACCACCACTACCGTCGCCACAACTACTACAACCACTGCCGTCGCCACCACCACCACTACCACCACGGAGAGCCCTCCCACCATCGGCACCAGGAGTAAGATGCAGGAATCTGGTATTGCCCCATTCCCCATCCCCTGGGCAGCACCATCTTGTAGTTGTCTCAGGAAACAAGCCCCAGTCTTCCCGGATGGGTGGGGTCTGCGGCAGTGTTATCCGCAGCTTCTTTTATGTTATTTGCAAACTCTGTCCAGTAGCCAGAGTTTACACTCAAACACAGGGTGTTTCAAGGACCTCCGGCCCCCAGATGGTAGGGCTGGCTCCAATTATGTGTCACAAGCAATATAAGGCTGAGCACTCCAGAAGGGAAAGAATGACTGGAACAGAAAGGACTGATGCTGGATAGAAGGCTTGACGGAGCTTTGGGTTCCAGCCATGTCCCTGCCCAGCATTGAGATCAGCAGCTCTTTTCCCAAAAGCCCCCCTCCTTTCTTGTCCCTCTTTCCCAAGGAATTCTTATAGACTTTCCTGTTAAAGCATCAGGATGGGGACAGTGGCGCATGTCTATAATCCCAGCTGTTTAGGAGACAGGAGGATCATAAATTTAGGCAACCGAATAAGATCTTCTCAAAAAAAATTTTTAAAGGATGTTTAAAGAGCTAGGGATACAGCTCAGTGGTAGAGCACTTGCCTAGCATGTGAAAGGCCTGGGCCCCATCTTCAGCACTGCCCTGTCCCCCAAAAAGAAAAGCAAGACAAAGTCTGAGCTTGCAGGAAACGCATGGAAATGGTGTTGCCAGGTCACCCCGCAGAGCTCAGAGCGCTCCATCACTCCTCCCACCCATGTTCCCTGGGCTCCCAAATGCACTCTGGGAGAGAAAACTGCAGCCTTTCTTGGGACCCCTGCTCAGTGGAACTACGAGAACATGCATTGTGCAGCCAAGCCAGGAAGCCCTGCCCTTCCTGCATGAAGAGATCTGGAGAATTCAGCCACCCTTCAAGTCCCCAGCATCAGTCTTACTGCCGCAGAGGGGCACATGTATGGCTCCCAAGGCCCAGGCCAGCTGCACATGCAGCAAGAGGCAGCTTTCAAGGCCAGCAGAGGCCCCCAACATGCCTTCCAGCAGACCTGTAGCCCCCAGCCTTCACTTGCCCAGCTCGCTGAGAGTATTTAACTCAGTTGCATGGTTCATAAGGAGGGATTCATAGCTGATGACTACCTCAAATCTTGAAAACAAGATTCGCTTTAGAGGTGCATATCTAGGACTTAAACAACATGCACTCAGTGGAAAGCTGGCTGAGAAGAACTTTCTAGACCGTTAGAGGCTGCCATTAGCAGTGACCTGGAGGTCAGTGTTCTTTGGGACCTTGGTGAAGCATCTGCGCCACTAAGCAGGATTTTGTGTCCTAAGGGAATGTGGAGTTTGCAGAAAAGCTCCAGGAGTAGAGTAGTGAAATCTTACTCCCCAGGAAACACTTGTTTCTGGAAAGATCAGCCTTCTTGCCACATGGAGCTGGCATTTGACCCTCAGTCCAAGTTTCTGCCACATCTGAGATGCTGCAGAGGGCCTGGCCACCATCCTAATTTTATCAAGAGCTTAGGGACATTCTTCAGCCATCTCTGCTTCCCTTGACAAGGCAGCACAGCACTGCCACCCAGGACTTTTTATATGAAGTTTCATCTTTCTTAGGACAAAATGTTCCACAGTTTATCTTTCAGAGGGTGACATGGGCCTTTTTGTTTGCTTTCAGAGTGTATTTTTGAGATTTCAAGGATATTCCATGCCTCTTACATACCAGGACCCAGTGGAACAACACATGCTTCCCATCTCTGGCCCTTCTCACTTTTGTCACTAGCTCTTGTCCTGCACTTCAAACTTTTCTGTTCGTTAGTGGCCACCACCTGGTGGTTCCTTCCTCCAATTTTGGTTCTGCACTGTTTGTCCTTTTCTGAAAGCACTACCCTTTAAACCAACCAGATTTGAGTCACTATTAGCTTGGGAGCCAAACTGCTCCAACGCAAATTCTCTAGCTAGTTTATAGGGTACAGGGCTGAGGAGGAAGAGACTCCGGTCTCCAGATCATAGGTAATCATTCATTCTCATTAGCCAAAGCTCTGACATTCCAAGGTACCAGGATTGGAGGGGTTTAAACAACCGTCCAGTTAAAACATCAGGCAGACAAATGAAGAAACCTGGCTTCCCAGAATGCCCTACAGTGCCATCGTACAGCTCTTGCATGGCCCTTGCTTAACACACCTCACGTTCACCTGGGGCAACCAGCCCCTGACAGGGTTGTAGTAGAAACAATACTTCTTTGAAGTGAAAATGAGGAAGTCTTTTATCACTTCTCCAGCCAAGCAGACTCAGTCACGTGCCAAGTAGATAATGAATAAATGCAGCACCAGTGCACCCTGCTCATTTATTTTTGACAAGTGAGTTGGTGACAGTGCCCCCTTGCACGCTAATAAAATATACAGGAGCCACACTTGTAAAGTCTTTGAGATGCAAGCTGTTATGCTGCCCTCCACTATTAGATCTTTGCTGGGAAAAAGGGGCAATCAGACTGCTGGTAATCACTCTTAAGAAGTTATTATATTTGAAGATTAGCACCATTCTGCTGTACATGGGCTATGGTTTCAGACAGCACCAAGACAGGCAGAGGAAGGGTTCGCTCTGCCTGTGTACTTGGGACCCTGTGGTTCTAGGCCCCCGACCCCTGTAGGGTGATCTTCAGTCATTGCTGTACATATCACCTGGGCTCTTCCTGGCCAAGAGCAACTGCAGACCAGAGTCACCTGCCTGGATTCCCATTTTCTCTGCAGTAGCACAGAAGCCCTTACATTTGGTCCTACCCTTCCTGTACATCTCCTCACAATTCTGCCTTGATCTCTTCTAGTGGTGCTAGCAATGAAATCCAGGATGGTCCAACCCACATAGTAGGCGAGCACTTTAGCACTGAGATGTACCCCCAGCCTTGCTTGGCTTCCAAAATCTACTCCTCTCCTTCCTATAGAATTTCCATGGCTAAGGGGGAGAGGCTTGTGTATCTCTCCAGCAGCACCCTGACCATGGGACCTTGTCCTAACCCATGTCCTTGTGCTGCTCAAATCTGCGCTAAAGATCTAAGAGACAAACCCAGGGTAGAGCCACAAGTGGCATGGATCTAAACCCATTCTTGCACCCCTGCCCTGACCCCTGCAGACACATAGACAGTTTCCAACGCTCTTTTCCATCTCTGTCCTCCTGACTGCCCTTGCACGTGCCTGGATGGCTACCTCTGGCCTGGCCACCATGGCTGCAGCTTGGAGTTCTGTTGGGCCCTGTACGCAACCATTTCTGACTATCTTTTCTCAGCTGGCTGTGTGTATGTATGTGTGCGTGTTTGTGTGCACGTGCACACATGCTCTGTCCGTGTCATCCATGCCACCCCCTCCTCACTAACTCCTTTCTAACCCATCCCCCCTCCCAGCCCCCGATGAGCAGTTCATATGGAACGTCACGGTGCTCTCCAACAGTAAATGGGCCAACATCACGTGGAAGCACAACTTCGGGCCCGGAACCGACTTTGTGGTTGAGTACATCGACAGTAAGCATTGCTGTGCGGGGTGGCGCAGTGGGGAGCAGTAGATGCCATTACAGGGATCCTGCGCCCTCCCCAGGTTCAGAGAGCCCTTTTAGCCTGGCTTAATTATAGCTTAATGAAATCAATATGCAGTCAGGCTGCAGAGTGGGAGGAGCAGGCCCAAGGAGAGGAAAGGGGCTTTGAAACCATTGGTGAAGCCACGGAGTTGCATGTGCTTGGAGGACCTGTGGAACATGACCTTGTCGTCTATTTCCTGCCCAGGTGAAGGTTCTCCACAGTCCCCAAATGTGCCAAAGCACCCCTCTGTATTATTTCCTAACTCAGGCTCTACGTGTCCTAATGTCTGCACTGGATGGGCTGCTCTGTTTCACGGATGGCCCATAGTGAGAGATGACCAGAACCATTTGTCCCAAAGAGCTGGTGGCTTGTGCTGAGCCATTCACACTTTACCAGATCTTGGAACTGAGGGTACAGATTGGGTACACTGCAGAGTGTGGTCAGGACATCTGTTTCCTATGAACAGAGATCCTTGGTCCTCTGAGGTCAAGCCCACCCTGTGGCCCTCTCTGGTGTGTACTTTAAGCATGAAGCAAATAATCCAGCAGCAAATCCACCAGGCTAGCCCACCCAAAGATCCCTTAGGAAATTCTAAGTCAGCACTGAGTTCTTCCTGGCTGGCAGAGGGATTCATGTCCACAAGCTCTGGAATCCCTAGTTTGGCTCAGGTGTTTGAACTCAGACAAAAAGGCACACATTTTTTCTGACATAAGAATTTGCCACTGGGTAGGAAATGAGAGAAAACCAGGAGTGAGAGCTGGGAGCTGAGTCCTGTCTCATCTGCATGTTAGTTACCATGCAGTAACTAATGGGCTCTCGGACCCGGACCCTCGGCAGGAAGATCCCACACGGGGGTGTGAATCACTCTGGCGACAAATGAGCGTTGGCTGGCATACTGAGTTTGAAGAAGTAGATCATGTGTATTTAGTGCTAAGACCATAGTGAGAAGAAGCTTTAGGAGAGGAAACAGTGCCCTCAGCAGAAGGGACATAAGGGTTATCACTGCATGGACCAGCATGGGGAACTGCCTAATAACCTCCTGGCCCATACAGCAGGCTGGATCACCATTCCCTTTCCCTTTTCCCCACCCTTTCTGCCTCTGGCAGGAACCTTTAGCTCCTGGTGCCTGGCTCTAGGCTGACCGAGATTTCTGTTCCCCAGGCAACCATACAAAAAAAACTGTCCCTGTTAAGGCTCAGGCCCAGCCTATACAGCTGACAGACCTCTATCCCGGGATGACATACACGTTGCGGATTTATCCCCGGGACAACGAGGGCATCAGCAGTACCGTCATCACCTTTATGACCAATGCAGGTGAGAGGGGAGCTGGCCTGGCCACCCCCTGCAAGCATGGGGCCTCTCATTCCCAGCTTCCTGCTCATCTCCTTAAAAGAAGACTCATCTCCACTCCGTTCCACCTTGCATGGGGTGTCTGAGGCCCCTGGGGAGCCAGAGGAGCCAGATGTGCATGCACAGTGGAGAGCCAGCCAATTCCAAGCCTTCCAAGCCAGTGGGCTGAGCAGGAATTGGAAGGAAACAAAGGATTGTATAATGAGGGCAGGAAGCTGTGGTCCCCTGCTTCGCCTGAAACAAAAGGGCTTGGTGTCTGTGTGAATTTGGTCACTGCGAGTGAGGTGGGGGTGCTGGAGGGCTGTGTAGCCCACCCCTTTGCGTTGAAAGCCTTGCTAATGCATGTGGGACTGGGGATAGGGCCATCCTGGATCCTGATTCAAGAACCAAATACGGGGTCAGCACATGTGGCACTGCCTTGTCACCACCATCTGATTTTTTTTTAAAGATAGAAGAGTCATGTATTTAAGTAATACACTGTTTGTTTGTTTGTTTGGTGGTTTTTGGTTTTGTTTTTCTTAGTACTGAGGATCAAACTTGGGACCTTGCATTTGCCAGGTACTTATGTGACTGAGCTCTATCCCCGGCCTCCATCATCTAATTTGAAAAATTCCACCGAAAGACACACCTTGTTTAGGACTTTATTTTGATTTAAATTCTATCCTAAGTTTGTCTTGCCTAAAAGCTGACATTTTGTTGTGCTAGGAGAAGGGAAGAAGCTTGGGCTTTGTCAAGCCTTTTTCTGTAGATGGAAAAGCATGTTCCTTATGTCAGGTGAACGGGCTGTCTGGGCTCAGCAGAGGAGACAAGATTTAGAACCTCTCAGCTTCCAGGGCGTCTGGCCACTGTGTGGGCTCTTGCTTATCTTCGTGACTATATCTTTAAAAGTGGCCAGAGGAATAGCCAAGTGAGTTGTGTGCTAAGCCCTGAGGCTAAGCGGAGGGGAGGGAAGATAGATTAAGAGAGAAAAGGGTTGGTCCTTGCCTCTAGGGATGTCCTAATCAGATGCAGGCTATTAGACACATGGGATAGAAAGGGAAGAAACCCACAGTGATTTATATGAATTTCTGAATGTTGACTTGCATATTCATTACCCCTCCAAAGCCTAGCCTGCCAGGGCTGATCCTGGCATCCTGGGAGTCACCTCCATCTGGACTGCTTCTCACCCCAGCCCTGTAACCTGGTCCCTCCTGACTGTCCTCCTTCCTGCGCCGCCTGTCCTGCGTATTTGCGTACCATCAAGGCTCAGGGAATCTGACTCCCTGCTTGGCCTGGCCAAGGCTGATGGGGCTAGGACGTGAATGAGCATTCAGGCTGTCGGACTGCATGAGGAGCCAGGCAGTGGGACAGTTAATCGAGCAGAGCAGGTGGCTGGACTCTAACCCAGTCGGGGCCCTAAGCTCTTGCTCACCCTTGCATGCATTTGATTTTGCTTTGTTGTAAATCTGAGTCCAGCACAGAAGCAGGAATGAAAGATGATACACGTGAGGGGAGGGGTCCCCCCTAGGAAATTCTGAAAAGCCACTTGGGCCTCCTGTCAGGGTTCTGCCTCTGTAGGTGCTCCGCCCTGCAGCTGCAAGGCAAGGTTAGGAAAGAGAGAAAAGGGTAATCTCTGCCCTCGGGGTTGTCCCAATCTGCTTCCAGGCATTAAGCAGGCAAAGCAGAAGAAAATAATAATGACATCTATGCTTCTCAGTCTGAGTTTTAATGCTGATTTTGATTTTCCTGGGCTGGTCTGCAGAGGGCCATTCTGATCACCTGCCTCTGGAGAAACTAAGGCATGAAGCACAGGAAAGTCCTCCCAGATTCCTCCCCATTCAGGCAGGAGAAGGCAGGCTGAGGGTGGGAGCTCTGAGTTCACATCATCACTTCCCACCCAAGCTGGCTGGAAATTACCATGCGCAGGGCACCTAGTGAAAGAAAGCATTTGCTCTTTTTGAGATCCGTGTGTGGCTGTGAATGAGTGTCCAGGTCCTTCAGAACTGTGCACTTTTTCTTGTGAGTGAATCTCTGGAGCCAAGTCTACAGGATGCCCCAGAGCCCTCTTTCATCAAAGCAAGAATCTGTGAGCCTCTCTGGGCCCAGCCACTGGTCACTTAGGTAACCACAGTCCCTCACTTTAGTCTGCTGATGCAGCAGGCTGCAGAGGCCCAGAAAAGGAAAGAAACCACTGAAGATGCTAACAGGCTCCCCAGCCCTCCCAAGAAAGATCCCACTTAGAAGTTAATTACCTTCTCGAAGCTTTTGGAGCCAGAGACCTGAGAGGTTACAGGTACATAACCTGATCTGTCAGAGGTTCACTTGCTGTTCCCCCATGGGTTTTGTGGGCTGGGCTGGGACAGCAGCCCAGGGGACACTGATGATGGATCAGGCAGTGGCCTTCTCAGACCTCAAGAAGGCAGGAGGGACTGCAGGATGGGGGAGTTCATAGTGGTGCTTAAGCGACATCAGGCAAGGCAAAGGTATGTGAAGATAAGCGTCTCTCTTATGTATTTGCCACCCCATCCCTATTTCCGGAATATAGTTCTGCTGACTGAGTAATGGCCCGTCTCCTATGGCTAAGCCAGATTCCTCCCAGTCAGACACAGGAGTTAGTGGAAGTGGCTGCTTGGCAGGGGAACTGCTCACGTAGGGTGTGATGTGGCGCTTCTGTGCTGAGGCCTATAGTTCAGCTCCAGAGGATTCAGGCTTGAGCATGCCAGGCCTGGGGGGCCAGTGATAGGATGCTGCTGTGGCTCCTGTCACTTTTGAATTCAGCATGTCTTTCTGAGGAGATGGTGAGGGTAAAGGCACCTGGTCACTGACTGTTAATAGCATTGGGCCCACAAGGACTCGAAACCAGTTTAGCAGATCGATTGAGTGTGGCACTGGCCGTCAGTGCACTTGCCTTGGAGCCTCGCTCCCAGAGTCATGGCTGCAGGGTCCCACTGCAAGTGAGATCATCGTCTCCTAAATCTCGTTCACTTCTTGAGAAACAAAGTTGCTTTGATGACATATGGCTGAGCCCATCATTCCCCAGATCCCAGTTGCTCTTAAACAGCCTTCTGTGTCCAAACTCTACTGGAAATTCTTTGATCTTTTCAGAAAGGACTTTATCTAGTACTGTCAGAGTGGAAAACTACTTCTGCTTTGTAAATTTCCCCTGTGGCCACTTTCCCAGGGAATCCGTGGCTTTCTTTCCCAAAGAAAGGGAATGCCATGGGGAACGGCTGGCAGCAGCAGTAGATGGTGGTGCAGGCTCTTCTCTGAAGAGGCTAGGCACCACTGTCCACACACAAAGAAAGCACTTCCTTCACCAGTGCTCCAGTGTCATGCCTGGACAAGCCAGGCTTCGAGCCCTGTGACCGCTAGCTGGTGTCAGGAAAAACCCACAGCAGCATCCCAGATTAACCACATTATATCAGAGTTGAATTGAGCCCGACTGCTTGTTACTTGACCAACATTATACTAAGTTCTAGGAGCCTCAAAAAGATCTCCTAGTCTCAAGACTGAATAGGTCCGTTGGAAACCAGGGCCCAGGAAACAGAGCAAGTCAGTGTGACACTGGTGTGGAATATTCAGCAGTGAGATCAGAGTGCAGAGGTGGTGTGCGCTGCAGCAGCAGAGCCTTAGCATGCAGGGGAACAGAGGAAGGTGATGAGCAGGGTGAGCGATGGTCCAGGCTGGCTTGGGTAGGGTGGGAAAGGCGCCAGGTCTGGAAGCCTGCAGAGTGCCCTGAAGTCTGGACTGAGTAGCTGAGCCTGGTGTGGCAAGAAAAAGAAAGTTGGTGCAGTCTCCTGGCAGCATCGATGAGTCTCACTGTGCCTGTGGGCACCGGGAGGCATGAGATGAGTGGACGCCTCTAGAACGCAGAATTGAGGTGAGAGGCTTTGGAGGGGCAACCACGGTCCTTGAAATGAGGGAGAGTGGCAAGGCCACTGGCAGAGCCACAGAGCTGGGGGAGCCACAGACAGAAACAGAAAGACATGCTGAATGCAAGCAGAGAGCTAGCAGGAGGCAGCATTGGCCCACAGCTGTGGAGCTGGCTGCAGGGGCAATAGAGGTGAACAAAGAGGTTGCCAGCTGGAAAGTCAGGGCAGGAGCACTGTGGTCTAGTCAGGGTGCGGAGGTGAGCTTGGGAGAGGTCTGGTGGGCGGCTGTAGCTGAAGCACTGGCTGACGCACTCGGTGTGGAGAGGCTTGAAGTCAGTTTGCTGGGGAGAAAAACAGGTGGAGAGGGATCTAGAGCCAAGGGAGAAGACTCCACCAGGTGCATGGGCTGCAGCTCAGAGGTGTGGGCTGTTCCATGCGAATTTTTGTTTAAAGAAAATCACAAGGGGGCTGGGGAGATAGCTCAGTGGAATAAGTGCTTGCCTGGCAAACACAAGGTCCTGAGTTCGATCCCTGGTACCATCAAAAAAAGAAAATCACAAGATACCTCAATGTATTTAACAAAGCAGGGAAGGAGACAGCAGAGGAGAGGAAATGCACAGCAATGGGGAGATCAGAGGTCCTTCTGGGAAGGAGACGAGTGTTGGGGAGCTGTTTGGAGGGAAAGTCCTCCCACACAGGTGGAGACAACTGCAGGGGCTGTGCATGCCCTGCGTGTCCAGAGCACCTGTGGGTGGCGAGGCCCACAGAGATGTGGAGAGGAAGCAATCAGGAAGTGTGGGGGTTGGGACAGTGCTGGGTGGGCAGCTGCCCAGGTGGCTAGAGGGGCAGTGACAGATGGCAGCAAAGTGCAGGTGAGGGACACCTGTACCACCTGGACCTGTATCTCCCTCCCAAAGCACCCTACCATGTGGCCATCGCCAGGAGACCCACAGTGGACACTGAGCTGAGGGCTGGGATAGCAGGGCCAATTCAGGGGAAGGTGCCGAGAGAGGGAGAGCAGGGAGTCAAGGGCTCACCTCCCAGCTTTGGGTACACAGCTCTGCTTCAGCCTGAGGAGCAAACACAGGAGTCCCAACGGGAGCTGCCTGCCAGGTGGCCATGGAGTCCAGGTGATGGGGAGCAGACACTCAAATCCCTACTCTGCCATCCACTCACTCTGTGACCTGGAGACAGTCACTCAGTCCCTCTGGGCCTCATGGGGATGGGGTGAAGACTGAAGTAGGCAATGTGTAAGAAAGTACTTAGAGCAGCGCCCAGCCAACGGCAGTGCTGGTAGGTCTAGGTTAGTGGTGGTCTATCAGATGGCGATATGTGCTGTGAGAAAGCTGAACTAGGGCTAGGTGCGAGGCCTTTGCTTAAGCTGGGAAGGCCCAGGAAAGCATTTGTGAGGGCCTACCATGACAGAAAATGCAAAGAAGTGGAAACGCAAGAGCAGCAGGTGCAAAGGCCCTGAGACAGGAACAAAAGTGTCCGGTGCAACTGGATCGTGAAGAGTAACGAGGAGGGTTGGACAACTATAGCGAGTTGGCCAGGGCTGGCTCCCACAGAGCCTGACCATCAGAACAAGGAGGGTCAAGTTTTCTGCAGCAGCAGTGAGAGCTCTAGAAGGTAGAAGCAAGAAGCAGTTCAGTCCTGCATGCAGTTCGGGGAAGATCCTCCATTGCCGTCTGGGGGATGCTTGACAGGTGTAAGCAGAGCAGGAGTGGACTTCTGTCCACCACTCATGTAGAGCAGGGTAACCACAGCCATGTTCTTTTGGACTCTGCTGCTTTGCAGCTTGGACTGTGCTGGGCAGGCAGAGCTTAGACAACGCAAAAGAGCGTGCCTGTGGGTCTTCCCCATATCTGTCCTCAGGAAGGAACGAGGATGTGAGTGCACCAGATCCCTGCCCATAAAATGATAAGGACCCAGAATCCTGCAAGGACCCTGGGGTCCCCACATTGTCCTTATGCTCCCCCACTGTGGTCCCGCTGTTATCTGGCCCTCCTAGGACCGGCCAGCTCCAGGGCTGCTTTGGCTGTGTTCTGTCCCTTGGGTATGTTCTGTCCCCTCCTCCAGTCTTGGTTTCTGAAACAGATCCAAAGCCAGCCTCGAGCCATTGGGGACACCATCCACAGAAGCTGGGCTCCTGTTCCTCCCTCTCCTGGTGCCCTTGGAGACAGGTCTCCAGGCACCAACCAAGAGCACCTTGCCATCTCAGGGGCTGAGAGTGGACAAGTGGGCCTGTCACAGACGACCAGGGCCATTTCTTGGGTGGAAGTGACCTGGAAGGGTCCAGCATCCTGGCTGACCCAGCTGAGGCTGCCCATAGCTGGGTCACCTTTGCTGCCAGAGAGTGCACTATCCACTTGCAGAGGTGTGAAAAGGCACAGGCTGCCCTAGACCTGCATCCAATCCAGAACTCACTGTCAACGCCTGGGTGGTTCTGGGCCCATGCTAGTGGGCAGTTTCACCACTCTGCACCTGCGTGGGCCTGCGGGGCAGTCTTACAGCAGAGCAAGTGTGCAGTCTGACCACAGCACCGCTCCCTGGTAGATCATGTGCAGGCTTCCATTGGGGGAATCCAACTGCCAGAGGGGTGCCCTTGGCCAACCCTCAGCCCCTCTCCACGGGAGCCACTGCTCAGGTCTGTAAGGATGCTGTGCTTCAATCTTAGGAAACTTCCCTGCCTACAGAACCGTCTGGCTTTCTGCTGCTTCTCTGCTCCCTGCACCCACCCCTTTTCTTTGCATGTTTTCTGACCTTTTGACCTTGGCTCTTTAACTTTTCTTTTTGTTCCTCTAGTGGGGTAGTTGGGGCCAGAGGGTTTTCAGTGGTCCTGTTAGCCTCCAGGAAAAGCAGCCGTGATAAGCATTGGAGCTCTTCCCCTCCTCCCCTGGCCTTCTTGGGCCACCACTCATGGTTTTGCTTCCCACCCTCCCCTCCAGCTTATACCAACAACCAGGCAGACATTGCCACCCAGGGCTGGTTCATTGGGCTCATGTGTGCCATTGCCCTCCTGGTGCTGATCCTGCTCATTGTCTGCTTCATCAAGAGGAGTCGAGGTGGCAAGTACCCAGGTGAGTGTGTGGGCAGCCTGGGCAAGTGATGCTTCCCGTGAGTCACCAGGTCCCCAGCCGGAGCTAGGGCTTGGAACAATGGTCCTCGTGCCTGCTCTGTGCACCTTAGAGCTGCCAGCAAGCCCTTGAGTTAATTAAGTTGGCCCAGGGTGGGCAGATGGCGTGTCCAGGCAGCTCCAGGGGGCTGGTAGGAGCCTTGGCTCCTACTGAGAATGACCTTTCCTGCCCTTGACTCACCACCCATCTGCTTGGCATTTTTTTTTTTTTTTTAGCTCAAATCTCATTAAAATGCTGAGTCCCAGGGAAGGAGGAAGGAAAAGAAGCATTTTCTCTGACCCAGTCAGAGGATGGGGAAAAGGGGTCTGGACAGAACATCACACCCAAGACAGCACCTACAGAGATGGGCCTTCAATGGGACAAGGAGAAATTGCAGGCACGTGTCAGGGAGGATCTGCAGCACCTGGTCCTTGGGGCCCTTAAAGGGCTTGGACTTCTCTAAATTTCTGTAGAAGCATTTCTCTTGTGATCTCTTCAAGATCCTCTAGCCCAGACAAACCAAGGTCAAAGACAAGGACCTCTGGCCTTCTTTTTCTGAAAATATTGATTGTTTTCCACTTGGACAAGAGAGCCATCTGTCCTTGATGGGATGGGTAGGGTGACAGGAGACAGGGTAATGGATGACCTCAAGAGCAAAAATCTTGCTGGGCTGCAGAATGAAATTGCTCCCTGCCTCACAGCCCCCACGGACAGGCTGCACGCTTCCCAGATGCTCCTCCTCCCTGACTTATGCGCAGCCCCAACCTCAACGCTGAGGAAACAGAAGGGAGGAGAACCGTTCTCAATTCCACAGACCCTGGGCTCTTGAGAGAGCAAAGGCAGGGGACTACCTGCAGTTCCTTACTGCTGATGTTTCCTCTCCCTTTGATTTTCTGCTCTGGGTCTAGTTTCCTTCCATAAGCAAGAAAACCAGAACAAGGGAGAGAGCTGGCCTTCTGCTTGACATTAGAACTTGGGAAGACACACTGAGCTATTGCCTGTCCCAGGTAGACCTGAATACCTGAGGGATTTACCAGATAAACTGAGCCTTTGCCCATTTAGAAAACGCTCCAGGAAAGCTCTTTGAGGCTGCCCACCTTTCCTCCAGCCTCAGAGCAGCTCTCTTGTACACTAAAAAGATGAGTGACCCAGAAGCCACAGGGCCTGGACCCTGGGCTTCACTCTAGTGTTAGTGATATGACTATGCTTCACCTCGTAAGGCCTCAGTTTCCCCTGCTTAACAGTAGGGGTGATAATCCAGCCTTGCTCCTCATAAAGGACACATAAATAGTCCCCAGGTGCCAAGGATAACTGAGGCAAAAGTGTCTCCTCAGTATCGTAGCTGGCTCAGAGGCAAGTACGGCACCTGCCACAGGCCTTGGCTGATGTGTGCACGCCCAGAGGAGGTTCAAAGAAAGAGCCAGCGAGTGAGGAGTGCTAGGAGAGCACTGGATCCCTTAGGAGTAAGGAGTGTCCTCCCTAAACAGGGCAGCCTGTGTGGATCTTTGAAGAGACACAGCCCCCGCTCTTGAGGAAAGAGTGCACAGAGCAGGCACGAGGACCGTCGCTCTAAGCACCATTCTGTTATGGGCATAAGAAATGTACACAAATAATTATAACACTGAGCAGAGTAAGACGGGCAAACAGTGGATCATTTGCCTTTGGCAAGGGAAAGGATGGGACCCATTCCCTTGGGAAGACTTTCTGGGAAGAAGGGGAGCTGGGTAGGAGGAGATTGAGGTCACCTGTATGGTTGTGACAGCTCCCAAAAGTAAGGAGGTGGTGGCAGAATCAACGTTGCAACTGACTGAGCTCAGGAAGCAGGAACTGGGGGAGATGGGGACTTACTGAAGGGTGTGTCACTGCGCCCAGGGCAGTGTATTCTGGCGCTGCACACGGCAGACCCCTGGAGAGCGGAGCCTGCTTCTTACTCATCATGTCTCTGCTTCTCTTGATGACCAAGTTCGAGAGAAGAAGGATGTGCCCCTGGGCCCGGAAGACCCCAAGGAGGAGGATGGTTCCTTTGACTACAGGTATGCGGCCTGCTTCCTCCCTATGCCAAAGCCCTCACCTCAAAGCGGCTTGGCCTGGCCACAAGGCCTCTACACCCATGTCCCTCTTCCACTGGCATGTCGCCTCTGCCTCTCCCCCGGAGCAGGGGGCATGTGCTCAGAGGCACTGTGTGTCCTGATCGTGCCGGCAGAGGCTGCTCCCTGCACATGGCCCTTCAGCCATTCAGGTGCACAGAGCAGCGTCCCAGGCTCCCATACAGACCCTCCTGCCTTTTTACTGCGAAGTGAGCTCTGCCCATACTTCTTCTCTGGCTGCACTGCACCTGCAGTTCCAAAAAGAGTGACCCAGAGAGGTCATTGTCCCAAAGCCTTACGGAGTGGAAGGAAATGTGGCTTCTAGGTCCCTTCCTCATGAACCCAGCAGTATCTCTAGGCTCAGCTAGAACAGGCTTTGGAGAAGCACCCAGGTCCTTGGTGGGAGGGCTGTGTCCACAGGAGAAGACATTTGCCCAAACTGCCATGCTCACCCCCAGTGACCTAGTGGGGAAAATAGAGAGGGCAGGGCCTGCCTGCTGGTCACAGCTGCTGTCCTCTGCCTGAGCCCTGACTCACACCTGTGCAGGCCTTTGTGTCTGGGCTTGATAGCATTGTCAGCAGTCCACTGGATGGCAAGGGAAATCTCACTCCAGACCAAGTGCAGTGGGAAAAAATGTCTGCTTAGAGCCCTCCTGTTGCACTCCTACCTGGTTACTGTCCAGGCCCGGGTCACCCTTGTCCTCCCCAGACCTCTCCTCTTCCTTTATGGGCTTCTGCCATCCTGCCCACCAACAGCCTGGCAAGCAGGATCAGATCAGTGTCGGGGTGTGAGGAACTGCAGCCCACCCAAGCGCCCATCTGGTGGCTTCTGGGCCACAGCCATCCATCCAGCCCCAGCACTCTACGAGCCTCCCAAGAGGGCCAGCAGGAGAGGCCCCTCCCCATTTCTGTGATGTCCTCACACCCAAGCAAGGCCCAACTTCCCACAGGCTGAGAGCCACGCGCTGGCTTTCAGTTCCAATGTCCAGGGTCATTTCTCGTTCCCAGATCCTCAGTGCAGCCAGAGAGGAGGGGTAAGGACAGGGTCAGGAGCTTGCACTGCGAGAAGCTGCCCCTTTTTGCATTCTGCCTTTCCCAGACCACAAAATTGTTAAAGACACCATCTGTGTCCCACTGAGGCACACACAGGAGTCGGCACCAGGAGTGCACACACATCATCATCTTGAGCCTCCATCCTAAGCTGAGAAAAGGCTAAAATGAGTATGGAAGAGGAAGAGCTGAATTTCCTAGGAGCAGGGGGAGTTGGCCAACCCTCATTCCTCCCGTGGCTCAGTTTTCTGGTGGGCTGTGCCGCTCTCTCCCAGGTCGGTCCTCCTAGACCTTCAAGGTGTTTGGGAGAGTGAGCTGACAAGTGGCTAGGCCAGGGGTATTCTTTCATTCAGGCCTCCTCAGGAGAGGTGTCTCCTTCCAAAACTAAGAGCACTGGGTATCTCTGTCCTGTGGTCACAGTTAGCTGAGGTGCCTAGAACCAGACAAGAATTTCCAAAAGCCACATACACAGCCTTCATGCCTTGTGCTGGGCAGAGCCCCCAGGAAGGGTGCAGGTGGCAAAAAGACTGCAGGTAGGGTGAGAGGTACAGCAATAAGAACCTGCTGGTTCTCACAGAGTTCCACTTGCAGCATAAACTCAGAGCAACCTGGAGCCCCACTAGCTGTCCTGCCGCTGTCCTCCTGAGCACAGCCATCTGCACTCAGCACGTCCCATCTACTAACACTCATGCAAGGCCTCCGCTGGCAGCTGGCTGCCCGGTGCTGCAGGTAGGAGCTGCTGCCCGCTGTGGCAGCAGCTCAGCTGTGCATTTCCCTCACACCTAGGAGCCATTGAACCTGGGCTAGGCACTGGAGGGTGGGCATCATGTGGCTGCTCAGACCGTATGGCATTGCTGTGGCCCACCTCCCAGGCCCCAGACCCCCACTGCTGGCCCTCAGCAGCCTCCTGCCTGTGTGCTATCTCCTTTCTGAAGTGCAGCCAGCAGCACCTGGTCCCCCCTCTGAGCCTAAAGGGCAAAGAGAGCTTTCCAGCCCAGGGAGGGATGTGGGACCTTTGCGTCCTCAGAAGCAGAGCTAACTTCACCTACCAGCTCTCCCCCTCCACGGAGCTGGCAAGGTCCTCAAGGCCTGCTGCAGTTTCCTCAAATGTGCTGGCCTTTGATGCTTCTCTGTGTGCCGCTCCCTTGTGCCATCCCATCTCTTACTTGCTAGGTCCCAAGCAGTAGCAGCTGTTTGCAGATAAACTACATATCCAAAGAGATAGCCCTGAGACAGGGAAGTGGGGAAGAGGCAAAGGTTGGTTCTCTTAAAATCCTGAGAGAGGCGCAGGTCATGGAAGGCCCACCTTCCGTGGACAGGCTGGCCACAGGGTGACACCGTCAGGACCAGAGTTCCTCGTCCTGGCTCTTGCCACCCCACGTAGTGCCTTGTGGAGCTATGGCTGTGCCTTGTAGAGTGGCCATCCTCTACTACTCCTGCACAATCTCTTGGAAAGAACCCCAGACCAGGAGTCCAGAGGTGGGAGTTCCAATCCCTGCTCTGCACATGTGCTATTGCACCTCATAAGGGACCTCTGTCCTCCCTGGGTCCCAAATTTCTTGGAGTGTAGGCTGCTGTCTCAGGGGGAGTAAGAACTGGGTGACTTCAGGGTCCACATCCTCGGAGCTGTGCAAGGCCAGCATCTGGTGAGAAGCCAGCTGGGTGGGGCAGGGCAGGGCAGGACCCTGATTCTCTATCTCTCTCTGACCAGTGACGAGGACAACAAACCCCTTCAGGGCAGCCAGACGTCTCTGGATGGCACCATCAAGCAGCAGGAGAGTGATGACAGCCTGGTGGACTATGGCGAAGGTGGGGAGGGTCAGTTCAATGAAGATGGCTCCTTCATTGGCCAGTACACAGTGAAAAAGGACAAGGAGGAGACAGAGGGCAACGAGAGCTCAGAGGCCACATCACCCGTCAATGCCATCTACTCTCTGGCCTAGTGGAGGCCACCAAGCACAGCCACTATATTGCAAGTAGGAGGAGGGGAGAGAGGGAGATGAAGCCACTGCAGACCTACCACAAAGCCACCACCACCTTCCAGGACAAGGGTACAATATGAAGGTCTGCCACACCGTGAGGACCAGTGACCAACCCAGCCACCCTTGAGCCCCTCCCAATGAGCCCCCACCCTGCTGTGTGCCACCAGTATGGGAGAGCTAGGCAGCGCTCACTGGAGGGAACCCTGTCCCTCACCATGCCCCACCACACTGCCCCTCAACCCGGGCACACACACTCGCCTATTCCTGTTGGCTACAGTACTTGTCATTGTCTCCATTTTTTTCATTTTTTTCTCTGTGCATCTTTTTCTCCAGACCCAGTGTCTCCATTCTGTTTCTTTCTGTATTGTAAGACGTGTCCCTGGCAAAGAAAGGATAGGTGGCTTCTCCCCAAAAAAACCACAACAGACAAGAGAATGATCCGAAACAGGACAGAGAGCAAAGCTGTAGTATTGAAGCTGCTGTCACCAGGCCAACATGTTTCCGAAGGATGCCTTTCTTGCCATATGCACCCCCTCGCTCCCAACCCATCTGCCTCGGCCTTGTCAGCTGCTCAGCTGGGCTTGGCTTCTTTCTGGAAAGTGACAGTATTTGGGGCAGGGCGAGGATGGGCAGGCCTCCTTGCCTCTCTCTGGTTCAGTTAGCAGGTTTACCTCTTGCTCCTCACTGTTACCTGCCCCTGCCTCTGGACTATCTGTGGATGAGATGCACTGACCCTGAAGGCGAAGGTGGGGGGCGGAGTAGGTACTGAAGGAGAGGACTGCGGGGAATGGATCCCAAGCAGAAGAAAGTCAGGTCTGGTCCCTCGGGAGCTGCACGCCTCTGGAGAGAAGCGAAGGGCTGGGTTTGGACACCAGTGAAACCCAGGATGCAGGAGAGGACCATCCGTGCTGCCTCTGGAGGAGGGGCCCCTGCCCACCTAGGAGCTAGCCCCTGCGTGCAGAAGCCTGGCGGAGGCGTTTGGGGGTGCAAAGCGCTGCCTCGCTTCCGTCCCTCGCAGTTATCCCCCTTGTCAGTTCTGTGTGACGTTTAAACTTGTGCTCAACCTTGTGTGTAGATGGGGACTGCTGCTCCTGTCTGTCCTTTTTTAGGTATATACCTATTGGAGGACCCTGAGGTGACACCGTCCTAACCGTGCTGTGACGCTCCCGCCTGGGGAGGACTTGATGCTCTTCATATGCCTTATGCAGCTCTGATCTGTCCCTGGATTCCCAGGCCTCAGCCCGTCCCTGCAAGCCTTGAAGCCTCCAGTGATGTCTGTCTCAGGATCAGGGCAGCCTATGCAAGTGTCCCTGCAAGACCGGAAGCAGCCACTCCACATGCCCCTCCCCCCTCTCCCAGATGGAGACACTTGCAGACCTGCAGCTCTCAGTCCGAAGGTGCTGCCTTCATCCTTCCCACCTAATCCATTTTTGAAACCAAAGGTACCTAGCCTCGGTGATGCAGAGGGGAGAGTGGGAGCCCGAGCATGCCCCTGCAGCTGCTCCTGTGGCTGGAGTCAGTTTCGGGAGGGTTAGGCTCATCCCCACGTGCGGATCACCTGCCACTGATCTGAGCCTCCAGCACCATCGAGAGGGCCAGGCAGGACGAGGGCTGCGTCCTTCAGAGACTTTATTAAACCATCATTTGCCACATGTTTAAGCCACAGAGGTATTAGCAATGCTTGCATCACTTAATCGTTCAGTTGAGGGTCAAGCCTATAGACACACACTGAAGGTAAGAAATCATAGGCCAAAGCCGAGCCAATGTTGCTTGAACCTGACGGTGTGTAATGGCTTCTTGGCCCAAGCTGTGGCCCAGGTGTGTCACCTGGGAGCCCAAGGGGCAGCTCTCTCATGATGAAAGGGGACAGGGTAAAGAGGAGGGAGCTGGGGAGTAAGCTCAGGGTCCCCTCCCCGAGCTCTCTTCCCATGCCTATAGGGATCAGGTGGGCATTTCTGCAGCCTAGGCCCACTGTCCCTGAAGGGAGTATCAGGGAAGAGTGCCCATGAGCTGAATTAAACCACTTGGATTTCGAGAAAACACTCTGGGCCTGAGCAGAGTGGACAATGTCTCAGGCCCCCATTCTGCACTGCATCGTCCATGCTAGTGAGTCTGCAGCACTGACAGCAGGCTCCTGGGGCAGGAAGAAATGTTAGATGTCATCGTATCTACCTTCCCCACATCTCAGGAAAGTCTGCCAAGGATACTGATACTTGGAAAGAGCTCTGTCTTAGGGATCCTGGGGAGAGGTGGGCTCTTGGGTTCCCATCTTTGCAGCCCATCGCAGAGTCCTGCCACAAGCTGGGGTTCCATCATCTTGGGGTCTTGTTTCATGTGTGCTGGTAGCTGACCCTCCTTACCACACGATCACGGTCCCCCAAGCAGGAGCAAATCTGGGCCTGAAAACCAAGGGTTCCCAAGCAAAGATGGCAGCCTCTCAGATGGATCTGAGCTGTGCAGTTGCCGGACTGGGGAGGAGAGGAGGCACTTTCCAAGTCCACTCCAGCTCAGCAGGATGCCAGCATTGCCCAGAACTCCCAGCCAGCAGAGTCTTTCAAGGAAACACCCCAGAACATTACCAACAACAATGCGTGGAGTGGGCAGTACCACTGGTGCTTCAGCCTGTCTGATGGGGGTAGGGGGAAGGGTGTAAGTCACCTTGTAGTGACTCCAGGCAGACTCCCCCCTGTGTCTTCAGCCCTAAGTGTGGTAGCTGTCTGCACTCTTGTCCATCCATTCATCAAATACTCAGTGAACATATAGTGTGGGCTGAGGCTTGTTCCCTGAATACCTTGGTGACCAAGGTCTGATATGGTCCCACGCAGGGCTGACATTACTGTCACTGACCCAAGGAACACAGTGACTATTTCTGTCCTCTGTTGTTTGACTGATGACTCCAAGCTGGAAGGAAGAGGCTTCCTGGGAAGCACTTGATTCATCCGCCCAGCAACTCTAGACTGGGAAGTCCTGACTTGCTGGGTGAGGTGAGGACCTGTCCCGCCCTCTGCAGCAAGCTGCTTAATCTCTGTGTTCTGGTGCCCATTCAGTCCCTCCTTTGAATACTTTGCTGCACAGAGGACATGGGCCACCACCGGAAGAGCAGGGAAGCGCTGTCTCCCACTTGCCTTTGTTATGGTAAACAGGACATCACCTTTCCCTTCCTTGTTGCAGCGGAAATGGCAGACTTTAAACTAAAGGGACAGCCATGCCAACCCTCTCCCTCGTCCATCTCCTTTGCCCTGAGAGGTTGGGGACATCTGGTCTACCCTGCCTGGCAAGTCCTGAGGTTCAAAAAAGTGGCCACACTGCCAGGAGCCCACCTTGTTCCCAGTAAGGTCCATCAGCAGCATGGACCCAGGGAGTGTGCTCCCAGGGTCCCTGACCACAGTTAGCTTGGGAAGGGATAGGATTGGGCCCATTGGTGTGTGTGTGGGGGGTGTCCAGCTAAGTTACAGCCTCCCTGCCACCCAGGCACCCATGCATGCACATATGCATGCAGCAGACCACAGTGCAGCTGCAGAGCCGCACTTGCAGCAGGAACAGTCCAGACTGTTGGAAATGGTGAGTCCATTTCTGGGCTCAAAAGATGTGATGCAAGGGGCTGTGTGTGGAGTGAAACCCAGCTAGAGGATGAGAGGTCACCAGGACTGGGCCTTGTTGGGACAGGTCCTCTGTGGCAGGACCTAGAGAGAGAGCAATCTGGAGGAATAGGAAATGCTCTCGAGAGTGGCCTGGGCTGTGGCTCTTTGTAGTTCCTCCTCGAACATTGTCCTGAGCCAGGCTGAGTCTTAGACCGTCTCTAACTGCCAGTTGATGGAAGCAGCAGAGATAGAAGCGCTGCTGACACTGAAGAGGTGAGGCTTCTCTGGCCTTCTGTGGACCTGGGGCCTGGAGAATAGCCGATTGCCAGGGTGCCAGATTCCCAGAGCCCACTCCTCACCCATGACACCTCGGGGTAACCACCAGTGTAACCAGCCTCTAAGAAGCCAACAGCTAATGGTGAGGCTCATCCAGTTCGGTACACAGGGTGATTTTGTTTTAGTGAAGCCAAGGACTTTGTATGAGCTTTGCATGATGGCTTAGGAGCACCATGAAAGAGGTCCCAGATTCAAAAAAGAAAAAGAAAATAGGACTGGAGCCAGTGAAGCAAGGAGCTTGAAGTGACCAGAGGTGGCTCTGTGTGCCAGGAGGCACAGGCCATTTGGGCAGAGGCAAACTCCTGGGCAGCTCCTTCCCTTAAACTAGACAGGGGCTACCCTGGGGGTGAGTTGGAATGAGATTGTGGTTGCCCCCATCCGGGCAACCCAGGGAAGTAAATACCCTTTCTTTTCCTTCTAAGAAAGTACCTTCCTGCAACATCTTCAGAAGACTCCAGGGAACCACCCAGTGAAGCCAGGCCAGTCACCAGTGTCCCTAACCATGACTGAAGGCAGTGCTCCTCTTACCCATCCATTAGTATTAGGTGCATATTTCATGATGATAGGATGGAAACGAAACAGATACAATGGTGTCTAGCCTGGAACAGATTCAGATTTCAGCTTGCAAGGGAATCTCAGCGCTGATCTAATTGAAGTGACTCATTGTGCAGACAAGGAAATGAAAATATAGGGAGGTGAAGGGATGGGCTTGGGAGGGCAGCGCTGGTAAGTCAAGGCAGGACGAGGGCCTCCTGATTCCTTGCTCAATGCCGTTCATCTCCCCACAGTTGCCTCCTTGGAAACAGGTATTACTGTCCTGCACGCCACCCTGTCGAACCTCTCCACCACATAGCCCAACAGCTCCCAAGTGAAAGACAAAAAGGATTTTTCTGAGTCTGAGATCAGTCTGTGTGTGACAGCCTTTGTTTAACCCAGGCGTGCAGTTATGGGCATCCCCAGGCCAGGGCCTGGAAGGACGAGCTGATTAGTGTTTGTGACTGTGAAGCCTAGATGGTACTCCCAGAACAGTGTCTCTTGCTGTGTCACACATCAGGCCTGAGTACAAATGGGGCTGGAAGTGAGGTTGCCGAAGATGTCCCCTGTCCATTCTGCCCTTGGCCCCAGGGTGCTGAGGGGCAGCAGGACTCAGGCAAGCTGGCCACGCTGGCATGTACTAGGCTAGAATTCAACAGATTTAAAGACTGCAGTGAAGCAATAAACACAAAAGTCTGGGAAAAGAGATCCAGAATTTTGTGCACTACTGTGTTTCTTTTTTGAATACGATGCAGATCAGATGCCCCTGACTGCTCTCTTTTTTTTCTGATTTCCAAATGCAGTGTCCTCAGTCAGTGTTGTCCCTCTGCCCAGTTCCCCAGCTCTTTGCCAACTTCTTGCTCCTTTTGAGCTGAGTATCAGTCGCCTGTGACCCAGCCACATTCTGTCCTGGTCCCCAGCCCCACCCACGCTGGACCTTGGAGGACCTCTTGCTCTGTCCCCACCACCCCACCCCTGTGTGTTCTTTTCAGTGGGGAAAGTTCTTTCCTATGTTTCCATACTTTCCTCCATTTCCACCCACGCACAAATTGGTCTGATCTTCTTTTCTGTTGGCTAAACATTTAACTTTGATGGTACAACTTGTGTTAACCCCTCTCACATCATGCTCTTTCCTTTTCGTGAGTGACCTTGCATTAATCAACTCTGTTGGCGACAGATGCGTTATCTGAGGGTGTCACGCATGACCTTCAGCAGGGAAGACTTCTGGGCTGTGGAGGACCGTCTAATACATGGACTTATAAACTGACTGCATGAACAATGAAAAGGCCAAATTATTCAGAATTTTTTTTGAATCACTGTAAAAAAAAAAAAAAGACTGATTTCTTTTTGTATAGAAAACACTAAACGTATAATAAAAGTTGTTCAAAATGGATTCTAGCCATGTCATTTGTTCATCTTCTTTGGGTAGAGTGTCAGGGAGCTCATGATAAAATGAAACCAAAGCACCAGACAGTGCACTCTGGTATTGGAATTCCATTGTACTGGCCCCTGTCTAGAAGTTGGTCTTGGGGCTGGTAAGATGGCTCAGTGGTCTAAAGCACCTACTTAGAACAAGCTTAGCAAAGCACAGGGACCGCGGTTCAATCCCCCAGCACCACATGCCAGCTAGCCC